GTGGCAGCTCCAGAGTTAAGGAGCAGGGACCTGGGTGGGCTGTGGCTTCCTGGCCTGTGTGTTCACTAGGGGAGCCTTTGGGGACCTCAAGGGTGGCAGAGACACAGGGATACCCCTCAGGGTGCAGTGGGCATGTGGTGCTGGAGGAATATGCCATTCCCTGGGACCCTCCTGCCACGCAGATGACTGACTTGCGATGTCCCCCTGACTCAGTGACCCCTGTCCCAGCTCTGGAGCAGCAGGCAGGACCATCAGAAGCAGAAAGGAGGGGAGCCAAGGAGTGGGAATTGGGGAGCAGGAGGGAGCTGAGAGATGGTGACTGGGATGGGACTTGGGTGACCTGTGCCAACCCCCCATCAGCTCCTGCCGGGCTGGGCTTGTCCACCCCCTCATGCCTTCCCTGCGGAAGACACGTCTCAGGCTGCCAGGCCAGCTCTCCGGCCTCCCGCCTGGACTGCTGCAGTACCCCTAATTGATCTCGTTTCTCCCCTCCAAGCCATCCGCAGGCATCCACCACTGCAGCCAGATTAATCTTCTTAATACACCAATTTGCACATCCCGCCCTGCCCCCGCAAAAGCCTCAATGGCAATGCTGTGGACAGACAGGTCCAGCCTAAATCAGGATCAAGCCCTGCCCGCCTGGCCATGCCCACCCTGCAGCCTTCTCCTGCGCAGCCCTTTCCGCCCTCCAGTCAGGCAAATGTGTGGCTCTCAGTTCTGCGGACGCCCTACACATTCCTTCCTGTATGCCTCCACTGCAGCCTCCTCCACCCCTTCCCCATGCCCTCAGCGGGGTCTGAGCTCCCTCTCAGAAAGTCCTGGCTTTGCCCGAGAGGAGCTGCAGCTCCAAGGTACTCTGTGCCGCCACACTGCGAGGCCAGCTTCAGCTGTCTGTGCCCGCAGGGCCACCCGTGCTTGGCCCAGGGCTAGGAGCTTTTGCTGGGGTTAAGGTCTCGCAGCTTCCTACGGTGGTGCCCCTCTACTTAGCACACAAGACACTAACACAGGAGACATGGAAACCAAGACACTAGGGACTTGCCCAAGGTCACACAGGTGGAAAGTCTCAGATGAAGGCCTCCTGTCTTCAGGTCCTGTCCCACCTTGGCATCATGCGTGTTCTGCATGCAGAAGGCACTTTAAAGGGTAGTTGGAGGCAATGCTGTGGGTTTCGAGGAGTCCTGGGGCTCAGCAGGACCAGGCCGCTTACCTGGGACCACAGCTGCCGCAAGGTGACAGCTTGGGGTGGCGTGCACAGGGTTAGGGAGCCTCAGCCTGGAGAAGAGGCCAGGGTCTCTTGGTGCAGAAGCTCAGGCTGCCAACCTCTACTCACCCCAGTCTCCACTGGGGCTTGACATCTGTGCAGAGCAGTACAGATGCAGCTGAGACCCTGGAAAAGATGCCTGGGTCTGGGGATGTAGGGAAGGGAGGCTGGAACTGCCCAATGGGCTTTTGGGCTTTCTCTGGGTGCATACTGGGGACAGCATTGTGGGAAGGGCTTCAAAGGCAGAGATGCAAAGGAAAGTGCAAGAGAGACTGTGTGGCTTTCTAGGGAGCCATGTGACCTCCATCAAGTTCCACGCCTTTGAAGCCTCAGTTTCCCCCCAGGCATTTTGGAGGCCCAGGTCCTCCCCTCCGAGGTTGTGAGCAGGGAGGAAGTTAAATCCCGGGAGATTTCACTCCTGGCTCAGTGTCCTTTGAGCCAAGCGGAGCTGCGGTGGTGCGAGCTGAAACTTGCTCCGCCTCTGTCCGCCTCTGTCCGCCTCTGCCCTTCCACGCGGCAGTGGCCGTAATTATGGCTGCAGTCCCTGGGGCCACTGTGTTGCTAAGATTGTGTCTCTGTGTCCTGTCCTGCGTTGGCAAAACATTCCCAGCCTCTGATTTAGTGACTTGGACTGGCTACCTGGGGGAAGGGTGTTTTCTTTTCCCCCCCTGGATCACTGGTGTAGGGGAATCCTGGGCCCTGAAAGAAGAGGTCCCCAAGTGGGTGTGCAGGAAAGAGGAGATGGTACCCAGGCCCCCTTCTGCTGTGTCAGGCTCCGCTGCTTCTCCAGGTCTGCATGGCAGGCTGGGGCGGGTGCCTCCGACTTTGCTGGCTCCCTGCTCAGGCACCAATGGTGCTGGCCTCAAGGGGCGCCCTGTACAGCTTTTCTCGGCGAGCCGCTGGTGGGTGTGCAGGTGAGCAAGGTGTGCGTGTGCCTAGCGGGGGGCTTTCCGGAGGACATCAGGGCAGGATGAGAACAGTCTCTCCACATATGCTCAGACTTTGCCCTTTTGGATTGCACCCATGGAATAGCGACATAGCCAAAGCTGTGGTGCCTTCAGCTATTTAAAAAAAAAAAGTTTTATTAATTTTTATTTTTGGTAGGCTTTTTGAAGAACAGATTGAGCATGTCTCACTCAGAATGCTTGGCACCATGGCTTGGGTTCTGTAGCTTCGTGGTAGAGCGGTTGCCTAGCATGCACAGGGTCTTGGGTTTGATCCTCCACGCTTCAGAAAACAAGAGCAAAAAAGCAAAATGCTTGGTTCCGGAAGTGTTATGGATTTGGGACTATTTACACATACAGAAGGGGGTGTCATAGGGGGTGGGGCCCATGTCCAAACACAAAGCTCATTTGTATCTCTTACCCTCCTGCATGTATCCCCTGAAGGTAATTTATGGACTATTTGTAGTGTACCTGGATTTTGACTGTGACCCATCACAGGAGATGAGGTGGAATTTTCCACTTGTGGCCTCTGATCGGCCTTCAAAACAGTTTTGGATTTTGGAGCATTTTGGTCTTCGGATTTTCAGATCAGACATGCTCAACCTGTATAATTCACATGACATAAAATCCACCCATTGTAGGTGGGCCTCAGCTGTGTGTTCACATCAACCTGTTCTTTCTGGATGCGTCTTAGTTGACTTGAAATATAATTTTATCTACATGAGAAAATATGTGCTCAGTCCATCCATTTGTCTGGGTTCAGAAGTCCTCTGTGGTGGCTGCAGCTTGGGTCTGAGTCCTGACAGGCTAATGTTGTTGGGGTCACCCTGTGATGGGGGATGGCACCCAGTCCCGGGCTCTCCTGCCCTGTCACCTGCCATTCTTGGCGCTCCTGCTCACCTGTAACATGAGGAGGGCTGCTGTGGGGGTGGTATGGGGTGATGCCCCACTCTTGTGTGCTCTGTGCTTATCATCCGTGTCCAGTCCAAGGTGGAACCTGGGCAGGTAGAGGGTGACTGGGAGATGGCATCGCTGACCATCACTCCCTGGCAGACTGGACTTCGGGGTGCAGAGTGCGGGGTCCACTTTGCCAGGAGGGGCCTAAGCCCCGGGCTTCGTGAATACTGACAGTGGCTGCTTCCCCGCCTCCTGCACCATGCTCACACTGGAGGGTGAAGGTCCTGCCTCTGTGACCCCGTTAACTAGGTCAGGTGGCAGCGTCTGCTCCTGCTTCCACGCACAGTCTATGGAGCAAAGATTTGCTTGAGATCTGCCAGAACACTGGGCCTCGTGCCCCACCAGCTCCCCGCCACTCCTGCCCTCTGGTCATCTGCTCCCCTGCTGGCCCTTACCCTGCCTTGGGAAAGAAGTCCATGCATACCGTGCTCCCCCAAGTGGGGGAGCACCCCCTCATCTGCCAGTGAGAACCCCCTTTCTTCTACCCTCCTCACCTCCCTCCCAGGCTGGTCACACAGATGAGGCCGCTAGGATACATTTGGCCACACCCCCGTCCTTGCGCCATGTTTGGGCAGCCAGATGAGGCAGCTGGGTACGCAGGAGGAGGTGTCACATAGAACCAGGGCCTCAGTTGGCTATTTCTGCTTAGCAGCTACTCTGGACTTTGGGCTTTGGGTCTATCTTTCACCAGTCCGGTGGGCTGGGGGCTCCATTGGGCCTGCATCCCAGTCCTCAGCCACCACCCCCAGCCAGAGCCATGCTCCTGCTCCCATGTGTCCTTCCCATCCCTTGGGGAGACCCACTCACCCTTCGAGGCTCAAGCGCTGCCTCCCGACTAAGCCCTTCCCAGTGTGTGCACCCTTACCTGCTTTCTCTCCCCTGAACTCCCTGGTTTACTTCCTGGATCGTTTGTCTTGGCAGTGAGGCAGAGTCTAAGTCCCCTGTGGTTTTTCAGCTGGGGAGTGTGTGCATAACGTGTTTTCAGCTAGACACCAGCTCCAGGGAGGCTGGCGTGTGGCTGCCACGTTTGCATGGCTCCTCTAACGCTGGCGCGTTGTAGACATACAGGAGGCGATTCCTGCTGAAAGGGAGGGGACCAGCGAGCTGAACAGCAGATGCGATGGGGTTCGTCATTTGTTCTTCTGAGGGCCTCTCTGGGATGTGCCCTTGGTCCCAGTCCCAGACCCTGGGTAGGTGCGTAAAAGGAATTAGCTCCCGTGTCTTACAGAGAGGTTGGGAATCATGCTGAAGGTCACAGAGTGAGTGACGGGAGTGACTGAGACTTATCCCAGGCTTTCTGGGCTCAGGCTGAGGCTGCAGGTGATTCCTCCTGCTGGGGTCTTTCCCTGCCTGTGGGAGTACGTGCATGGCCGGGCGTGTGTTCCTGTTTGCCTGTGTGTGTCTAGGCTGTGAGCACAGCCAACAACCATCCAGAGCACGCCTGCCAGGCCCATGGAGTAGTGTGGAGCTGTGTGGCTGTGTGCCTGTGCGGGGCCACGTGACTGGGTGTGCACGGGAAGCTTCGCTATGGCCCTCTGATGTTGGTCAGCACCATTGCCCTGCTGGCCCCTGCCCCCGCGCTGGTGTGACAGCACAGGACAGGATGCTCTACTCAGCGGAAGTAGAGCAGAACCCACACACGGGCCCTCGGTGAGCCTGTGGCCCCAGGACCTGAGAGTTGGCCGTGGGGAGTGGCTGCAGGGGGCTTCCCTGAGCGCATGATCCATCCGCCGAGGTTGCTGTTCTTGCTCCTCCTCTCCCTGGGGCCCATGTTCGGAGGGGAACTGGGATGTGGGGTCAGGGAGGAGCCTGCTGCTTCACGCCCTGCTGCCCTCCAGCCCGAGGAGCTCACCAACGCCCTGGAAATCAGCAACATCGTCTTCACCAGCCTCTTTGCCCTGGAGATGCTGCTGAAGCTGCTCGTGTATGGCCCCTTTGGTTACATCAAGAATCCCTACAACATCTTCGATGGCGTCATCGTTGTCATCAGGTATGGCTGCCCCCGCGGCTCTTGCTAAGAGGGGCCATGCGGCCCGGTGTGCGGGGCACAGGAGTCTGAGGGCCCACGGGCCACCACTCCCCGAGGGGCGGGCCTCTCTGTAGCCTGACCCTGTTCCACTGCTCAGCCCCGCCTGGCTCTTGCGGAATCGGCCAGGCCCCTCTCCAGCCTCCTCTCTTCACCTCTACCTCTTGTCCCCAACTCTACCCAGTAGGTGAGGAGTTGGAGGGAGAGGGAGGCCCAGCCAGCTGTCCCCATTTGCAAAGTGCTTGGAAACCAACACAGACACCGGCAACTTGCTTTGGGGTTTCCAAGACCTTAAGAAAGTGTTCCAGCCCCCGAGGCCTGGGGCCAGGAGAAATGCTTTATTGCTTTGTGGAACTGGCTTTAGATTTCATTAGAAGACAGCAAAACAAATATTCCATAGCTCAATGCAGTTGCATTGGCCGGATTTAGGGAGAGGGTTGCCTGCTGCGGGGGCTGATCTCTGGCCCTCCCGGGGGGTAGCTGCAGGCTGGGCTGCCCCCTGGGCCCTCTCCTGGACCCCAGGGCCCACCCCCATTCCTTCTCTTGCAAGGTCCTAGCCCTCAGGTGCTGGGTCCTCCGAAGGGGAGGGCAGGTGGAGGGCAGGGGCTCAGGCTGCCTGCCCCCCACAGCGTGTGGGAGATCGTGGGCCAGCAGGGGGGCGGCCTGTCGGTGCTGCGGACCTTCCGCCTGATGCGGGTGCTGAAGCTGGTGCGCTTCCTGCCGGCGCTGCAGCGGCAGCTCGTGGTGCTCATGAAGACCATGGACAACGTGGCCACCTTCTGCATGCTGCTCATGCTCTTCATCTTCATCTTCAGGTGGGCGGGGAGCGGCCCCCAGGGGCCGGTCAGGAAGGTGGGGGCGGGGCGTGCCCGGACCTGACCCTGTCCCTGGCTCCCTGTGTCTTCAGCATCCTGGGTATGCATCTGTTCGGCTGCAAGTTTGCATCTGAGCGGGACGGGGACACGCTGCCAGACCGGAAGAATTTTGACTCCCTGCTCTGGGCCATCGTCACCGTCTTTCAGGTTCAAGGATCGCAGGGCAGGGGGTGAGCAGGAGCCGCTGGACGCCCCGTGAAGGCCCTGACTCGTGTCTCCTGCCCTCAGATCCTGACCCAGGAGGACTGGAATAAAGTCCTGTACAACGGCATGGCCTCCACGTCGTCCTGGGCCGCCCTTTACTTCATCGCCCTCATGACCTTCGGCAACTATGTGCTCTTTAATCTGCTTGTCGCCATTCTGGTGGAGGGCTTCCAGGCAGAGGTAACCCCCCGGCAGCCCGACCTCCCGGCGGGGTGGGATGCTTCTTCCCTCTGCTCCCCGCTGTGGGGGTCTGGGAGGTTCCCCAGGGAGCCCCCCTAGGTCTGAGTCCCTGTCGTGTGGCTGATGGGATGGTTGGCGGGAGGGGTCCCTGGGTTATAGATTAGCAGCTGGTAGGCTTCTCTCCCCATCAGACCCTTCCCCAGAAAGCCAGATAAACTGACTGTGTGTCCTGCGGGACATCAGGAGGACCCTCTGGGCTGGAAGTGTGGGAGGCTTGTGTGCAAGTCATCCGAGTGCAGGCTGAGCTGATAAAGATGCTACCAGGGCCCAGGCAGGGCTGAGCTGCCCAGGGTGAGAAATGAGCCCAATTAGCTGCAGCCATGGCAGAGACAGGCGTCCTATTTCCAGCCCCGGCTCCATCACCTCCGTCACAGGCAGCGTCATCAATTAATATTGATTCACATCGATCCTGCCCTGGCCATGCCAGGGCGCAGCCTCCACTCCAAAGGCCGAACCTCTTCCTGTCCCTCAGCGCTGCTTTCCTTCCCATCCAATCCCCCAGACCCACGCCAGTGTCCTGGCGCCTCAAGCAGGACGGACTGACCCAACCTAGAAATGCTCCAGGTCGGACCTGGAGAAGCTGTTGGTCCAGTTCTCTCTGGGTGACCCGGATGGAAACTCCCGCTGCGGCCTGGTCTATAAATACCTGGCACATGGTGGAAAAAACAAAAGTCTATTTTCCGACTCCTCCTCGGCCTTACGAGGGAGGGCCATCCCTGTGGGCCAGGCTGGTCTGGTGGGGCGTGGGTGCGTTGGTCCCACACCAGCTTTCTCCCCTCCTCCGTTCTAATCCTCTAGGTATCCATTCTCGCGTTTCCTCCCTGCCACCGGCAGCTGGGGTTGGGAAAGCTTTGGCCATGGCTGGCCCTCTTGCAGGGAGGGCGGGCCGTTGAGCTCTGCCCAGAACGGGACAACTCTGGGGTTTCCCTGGGGCTGCAGAGTTGAAAGCTGTCACAGGGCTCTCTCAAGAGCTGAGGTCTCCACGGCCTCATGCTGGGCTGTTGCTAGTGACCGGCAGGAGGAGGAGCTGGGTAGGGACAGGTCCCTGTAGCATCCTCCAAACAGTAGCTCCTAATAGCTAAGCTCCCCTCCAAAAACTTCCCTGTGGACTTCTGGGGGGCACACAGAAACCACCCTGAGCCCCTTTCTCTCCCTTGCTGTCGCCCAGCCGCCATGGCAGTCCGGGGGCTTCCCGGCACACACGGTCCCCTCCCAACCACTTGGCCTTTCAAAAACACCTTGTTAAATTGAGTGCAGCTGGTTGCTAGGCAGCAGTGACATCTGAGTGTGGGAACCGAGCTGCCTGGTCCGGTCACCCAGGCCCTGCTGGGAGTCTGCAAGCTGCCCCAGCGTGGAGGGTGGAGCAGGGCTTGGGGCCACCCCTCCTCCACCTTGGGAATAGGGTGCCCTTGCAGGCGTCTCGCAGGACCTGGTACCTTGGGCTGGGATGTTCACTGTGGTGGGATGGAGGAACCTTTGAAGATCAAGCTGTCCGTGGGGGCAGGCAGCTGCTGCGGCCCCGAGTGCCCAGGTCAGGGACCAGATCTGCTGCTCCATTGTCCTGCATGCAGTGGCATGGACGGGTCAGGGTTATTCGACTCCCATGACCTGGAGGCCTCCAGACCCACCTGCGTCTCCTCTGTAGGGTTCCAGGAGGCCCTGTGGTCTGGCAGGTCTGGCTTTGCTGTGGTGATGGCCTGGAATTTTGTTCTGTTTTATTTGCACCAGTAAGACAGCCCACCTTGGCAGAGGGCGTGGTTGTTCCCATCTTGGTGGGCTTTGCCAGCAGGAGACCTCAAGGGTAGCCCCCTGCTGGCCCTGCCGCCCTGCCAAGAGGGGCGGGGGGTGGCCCTCGGAGACAGATCCCGCCTGGCTGTTGATTTCCTGACTTGCGGGGGGCAGTGCCCTGGATTCTTGTATATTTATCATCCACACACTTAATTAAATGAACAGGCGGTGGGCTCTGTGTGTGGCCATTAATTGACACCAAACAACATCATAGCCATTGTGGCAGGGTTACCTGTCATATCCCATTCCACAGCGAGCGGCTGGATCCGTTCTGACGTGAAGGCGCTTGGGCCGAGAGAGCAAGAAATTATGAGGCCTGATTCCGTTCCATGTCGAGGCCCCATCTTGGCTTTTGTCCGCTCTCCTCCCTGTCCTCCCTGCTGTTTCCACACCCGCTACCTCAGAGCCAGGGAGAAGGCTACGGTATTCTGAGCTGGGGGTTCAGGGTCAAGGCCCACCTCCGCCCTTTACTCCTGCGATTCAGGCAGCTGTGTCAACTTCTCCGGGCCTCAGGTGCCTCCTGAGATGGTCACAGTGGCCCCACCTCCTACGCGCACAGTGTGACAGCAGCTGTTGCACGCTGCCTGCACACCTTCCATGCATGGTAGCTGTCGTTATGAGGAGCAGTGGGGGGCTTGAGCCTTCCTTGCCCGTGTCCCCACTTCAGATGCACTCTGGCCTGGGGGCCTGGAGTTGAATTCCGGAAGGCCACCCTGTCCCACTCCCTGTCCAGCCGCGTCTCTCATTCCTCTGCTGTGGGGTGTGTACCCCCCTTCTCGCCTTGCTCTTTGGACACTGCCGGTATTTGGAGGCCTGAGCGCTTGTGACCAGCGGCCCTCCCCGCCTCCCCCTCTCCCTGTAGGAAATCAGCAAACGGGAAGATGCGAGTGGACAGTTAAGCTGTATTCAGCTGCCTGTCGACTCCCAGGGGGTAGGTACGCGCTCCTGAGTCGCATGTCCCCCGCACCCCGTGTCCCCCACTCCGCCTCCGTGTCTCTGTGCTCGCGTTCACGCTCAGCTGCTGTGCAACCTGTGATAGCCGTGGTGGCCATTGGTGTTGTGAGATTTGCTTTGATTTTAAGTCCCTTCCCCCGTGAGAACGTGGAAGGGAGGAGCCTCCTGGCCTTGGGCCCCGTCAACCCGCCAAGGGCACATTCCCGTCCCTGCCAGGCCGGAGAAGGAAGGGACTTAGAATCTGCCGTGTGCACGTGTGTGGGGCGCCCTGGGTGTGCGTGCCTACGTTGGGGTCCCAGAGAACCCCAGATGTCTGGCCTCAGTGGGCTCAAGACCCATGGCCGTGGAGCACCCTGCCACATGCTCTCCCTCCCCCCCAGGCCCCTGATGGAGACCCCACAAACTGCCTCAGCTCAGGACAAGTCTTTGGAGGAGGTAGGGACCAAGGGTGACAGAATTTTAATCCATCCCTGAGTCTCTGGGTCCTTCAGGCATCTCCTCTTCCAGCCCCCACACTAAGCCTGTGCCCTGCTCTTCCCTGCACTGGCACTGAAATTTGGGGCGAAGCCAGGATCCCCATGGGACCCCATGGTGCCACGCATCCTAAGCAGCCCCCTGGAGATCCCACTTGATAATTAAAGGCCTCGTTAGGGATGTAAACTGAGTTAATAAAAACGATCCCCTGAGATGCCAATTACCCAATATTTATGTCCTTATCAAAAGTAGCAATCAAGTATTTTTTAATAACTTCTTAAGGAGAAGTGTGTAATTACTGGGGAACCTACTGACCTGCTAAGAAGAAAGAAAAAAGTATCCCAGAGACAGAGAGAGAAGTAAAAACAGGGCCAGGGATGGTGGGGGCAGAAGAGGGGGGTCTCAAGTGGCACCCTTGGGCTGAGCTGTGGTGGCTGGGGTCTTTTGGTTTCCTTCTTGGGTCCTTGGGTCTGAGGCTCGTGGTCAGAGGTGAGACGGAGGGAAGGCAGGGGCCTCCTGTGGACTTTTGGAATTGAGGTTTTCATGACCATTTCACCCAGGTCCCAGGCCCTCCAGCCTGTACCACCTGCCTGCCCAGCCACCCCTTCTCCCTGCAGCCAGCCACAGTACCAGTGCAGTCAGGCTGGCCGCATGGCCAAGTTGGGTGAGGCGCGGCCTGTTCTGAAGTGTGACGCCGTGGCCCTGAGCCTGGGTGGTGTTGCCCACACCGGTGCATGCCTCGTGCCGTGGTTGCTGGTCCCGTGGCCTCTATGTCGTGTGTGCGTGTGAGGAGAGGGAGTCCTTGGTCCATCTCAGTGACCTCTGCCTGGCCAGGACACTGATGGCCTACTGCTCCCCAACCCTAGGGAGATGCCACCAAGTCCGAGTCCGAACCCGATTTCTTCTCGCCCAGCGTGGAGGGCGATGGGGACAGGAAGAAGCAGTTGGCCTGTGAGTACGCGTCCTGGGGGCACGGGCCCTGGCCCTGCGCCAGCCTCAAGTGGACTCAGCATCTCCTTCTCTCCCCCCGTGCAGTGGTGTCCCTGGGACAGCACCCAGAGCTGCGGAAGGGCCTGTTGCCACCACTCATCATCCACACGGCCGCCACGCCCATGTCCCTGCCCAAGAGCTCCAGCACAGGCCTGGGGGAGGCGCTGGGCTCTGGGTCCTGCCGTACCAGCAGCAGCGGGTCTGCCGAGCCTGGGGCCGCCCACGACATGAAGTCGCCGGTAGGGGGTGCTTGTGGGTGCCCGTGGTGGCAGATACTGGGAGGACAGGAGGAGAAGGAGAGGCAGTCCAAGGGGACAGCCCTGGGCCATGGGCTGGACAGGGCCTGGCGGGTCTGGCCAAGCCCTAGGCCAGTCAGGGCTCGCTAGGCCAGTGAGCGAAGGAGCCCAGCCTTGGAGGAGAAAGAGCAGGGCTCTGACCCTGTCTCTGCTGTTCCCTCGCTGTGCGACCTTGGGGAAGGCTGAACCTCTCAACCTCTCAGAGCCTCTTCTGTAAAATGGGCCCGGGGTGCCCCTCTTTCCTTCGCACCTAACAGGCAGCCCCCATCTGGTTCCCAGTTCTGTGGCAGACACTGCTCCTATGCATGTAGCCCTCACTGCACTGTGAGGCGGCCATGCTCATTATCCCCATTTTGCAGATGGCTAAGGCCAGGGCCAGAGCTGGCCTGTTAGTCCAGGAGGCTGGTGCCCCTGCCCATGCGCTCATGTTTTATGCATTTATTTTCAAGGTTTTTAAGATTTCATTTTTAATTGACAGATAATTATATCTGTGGGATAAAATGTGATGCTGTGATATATGTATATATGGCATGATTAAATCAAGCTAATTAACATATCCATCACCCCATCTTTCTTTATAGTCACGCTGGCAGCAAATCTCAAAACTGTGTTTTTCCTGTCTCACTGAAACTTTGTACCCTTTGACCAGCACCTTCCTGTTCTCCCTCAACCCCTGCAAATCACCCTTCCCCTCTTTCCTTCTCTGTGTTTCGGATCCCACGTAGAGGTGAGATCCTGCAGTATCTATCTCTACATGGCTTATTTCACTTAGCATAATAATCCCCCAGGTCTAATCAAGTTAATGCAGATGACAGGATCTCCTTGTAAAAGGCTGAATAGTCCTCGCTGATTAGCGCCCGTGTACACACGCCACACCCCATACCTTGTGTTATGAATACTGCCACAACAAACATGGATTTCTTTTTATATATATCCAGTTATGGAGTTGCTGTATCATATCATTGTCCTATTTTTGGTTTTCTGAGGAACCCCCATACTGTTTTCCATAATGGCTGCACTAATTTACACAGCACCGACAGTGTGCAGGGCTCCTTTTTGTCCACATCCTTTTTGATGACAGCTATCCTGACAGGTGGGAAGTGACATCTCATTGTGGCCTTAATTTTTATATCCCCGATGATTGGTGACGTCGAACATTTTTGTTATATACACCTGTTGGCTACTTCTACGTCTTTTGAGCAATATCTCTTCAGATCCTTGGCCCGCTTTTTAAATTCTGTTGTTTTCTTGCTGTCGAGTTGGTTTTCTTCTTGCTGCTATTTTATGCTGCTTCTTAGCAGTGATCCTTCTCTCACCCACTAAAGGAAGCACAAGTGCTATTGTACGTCTCCCTGACACTCAAGGAGACAGAGGCACGGAGAAGTGCAATAACTTCCAGGTCACAGCTAAATGGGGGTGAGCCAGGATCTGAATCCAGGCCCGAGTCCAGGGCTTCTGCTCACACCTCTGCACCCACTGTCATGCCAGGGAAGCCACAGGACAGGGCTGTGCATGAGGGCGCAGGGCCTTGTACCCCTGCTGAGGCCCCTCCTCCTCTGCTCGCCCCGCAGCCCAGCGCCCGCAGCTCCCCACACAGCCCCTGGAGTGCAGCCAGCAGCTGGACCAGCAGGCGCTCAAGCCGAAACAGCCTGGGCCGAGCCCCCAGCCTGAAGCGAAGGAGCCCTAGCGGGGAGCGGAGGTCTCTGCTGTCTGGTGAGGGCCGGGAAAGCCAGGATGAGGATGAGAGCTCAGAGGAGGAGCGGGCCAGCCCTGCAGGCAGTGACCGTCATGCAAGGGGCTCCCTGGAGCGGGAGGCCAAGAGCTCCTTCGACCTACCAGACACGCTGCAGGTGCCCGGGCTGCACCGCACAGCCAGCAGCCGGAGCTCTGCCTCTGAGCACCAGGACTGCAATGGCAAGTCGGCTTCCGGGCGCCTGGCCCGTGCCCTGCGGCCTGATGACCCCCCGCTGGACGGCGATGATGGCGATGATGAGGGCAACCTGGTGAGGCCCACATGGGCACAGTGACCCTCAGGCCTGGCCTTGAGAAAGGACAGCTGTGGCCAGCCTGGCAGGGTACACAGGAATTATGGTTCTGAGCCCAGGGGATCACAAGGGGCCCCAGCCCATGCCCAAGTAGCAACCCCCACCGCCCTGCTGAACGCAGGTCCTTGTCACGCCTGGGGCTGCAGCGCTGCTGTCCTTGGTGGATATGAATGGTTTCAGGCAGATGTGTATGAATCTTTCATGGCCCTCCCCCTATGACTCAGAAAGACCCATCACTCATCTCTCTAAACTGATGTCCCCTTCCCGTCCCTCTTTCTCTTCTGGACCTTGTCACAAGCCTTGACTTCCAGCCTGTCCTCACACATTCTCCCTCCCCCAGCCCCTCACCACCCCCCGCCCCCGGGGATGGGCACGGGGACCTGGGATGCGGGGTTAGCACGTGAGGAGAGGGACTAGTGTCTCCTCCGCCCAGGTGTATGTGCGCAGACAGCTGTGAAGAGTACAACGTTTGATAATTGATGCGGCTCCCAAGCCCAGAGGGAGGGCCGGTGGGGGCTGGGCGGGAGCAGGGTGGGGAGACGGAAGAGCCTGGGAAGCGGGTGCAGCGGGGAGGGGCGCTGCTCAGGGCAGAGGCCCTGCACGGCTTTGAGGGAGGTGGGTTTGGCAATAGTGGAGGACAATAAAGGGTCTGCGGGAGGGGGCACTAGGCGAGGCAAGGGTCCCAAGGCTTGGTCCTGCTCAGGCCTGGCGTTCCTTCTGCAGAGCAAAGGGGAACGAATCCGGGCCTGGATCCGCGCCCGGCTGCCTGCCTGCTGCCGCGAGCGGGACTCCTGGTCGGCCTACATCTTCCCTCCACAGTCCAGGTAGTGGGGAGGGGGCCCTGGCCCGCGCCCCAGGGTGCTACCCAGTGAGGCTGGAAGTGGGAATGTGAGCTGGGGCTTCGGGCTGGGAGGGTGCGGGTGACGTCTCCCTTCCGTCCCGGAGCAGGTTCCGCCTTCTGTGTCACCGGATCATCACCCACAAGATGTTCGACCACGTGGTCCTCGTCATCATCTTCCTCAACTGTATCACCATTGCCATGGAGCGCCCCAAAATTGACCCCCACAGTGCTGTGAGTCACTGGGACTGCAAGCACGGCTGTCGAGTCCTGCTCCGTGCCAGGCCCCTCCTGGGTTAGCACTCAGCCAGGGAGGCAAGGAGGCCCAGGCAGCCCCCCTACCCTCAGGTCTCTTGGACTCCAGCCCTTCTTCCTGGCTCCCCAAGATGCCTTCTGTGTCCTTTTCTCCCTCAGTTCCCCCTATGTTGACACACGAGCCTTGCTGGGTGCCCTGTGCACCCCAGGCTATGTAAAGATGGCTTGTGCTCCCGAGCCAGAGGCTTGTGGGGCACGCATGCGTGTGAGTCTTGTAGTTTTGGGGCCAGCCTGAGACTGGTCCTGCGCCCGGCCAAGGCTGGGAATGCTGCTGGGGAGAAACCCGCCTAGGCTGCCTGAGGCTGGCGCACAGCAGGACAGGGACGCTTCTCTTTGCTCCTTGGGGTCCTGCCAGGTCACAAACAAGTAGTTTTCTGGGGCCGTGGTCATTTCTGCTTGGCTTTGAACTCAGTCCTTCCCACAAGGGCATGAGAGACCGGGGGCCTGAGTCCTGGCCACTCTGCCCAGGGAGCTCACCTCTTCGGGAAGGGCCCAGCCCTTCCAGGAGCTGTCTCTTCCCAGCCTGGTGTCTCGGCCCCTCCCACTGGCAGCAGTTCAGGCCCTAGAAGGGTGGGTGGAGCGGCCCTGTTTCCCCCCATGGCATTTTGTAGCACTGGCTTGGAGGTGGCCCGAGGTCCTCCCTTACCCCTCCTCGCTGCCTCCCACATCATTGTTTGGATTTCAGAGCTGCTGGGGCTTCTGTTTTGCATTAGGGTGGGCTCCAGCCAGGCCAGGGTGGGGCTGCAGGGAGCCCCAGGAACAGAGGGGCCGCCCGGGGCCTAGGTGGGTGAGTGCGAGGCAGCACCAGGGACCCCCTGCCTGGGCTGGCTGCCCCTCACCAGCCCCCAGGCCCTGTGCCAAGTTCTGTCACTGTCCCTACCTTCCGACTCAGCCCCTCCAGCTCTGGTGCTGTCAGCACACCTGCTCCTCTCCTGCCTTTTTTCTGCCCCTCACTCTCACACTCAAGCTGCCAGTCACCTCCAGGGCCCCCCTTGGCTACCAGGGATGGCCTCAGCTCACAGGCACTGGGGCATCCATGCCTGGCATAATGATGGTGCCCGAGGAGGCACCATCGTCTGCACACCCCCCGTGTGCCTGCTACGCTCCGTTTCTGGGGCACACAGCAGGAAAGCAGGAGAGGAGGTGGTGTGGCAGGCGGGGGTCAGGGAGCACATTAAATCCTGCTCCAGTTTCAAGAAGGAGTCAGGGAATGGGGCCTGGGATTTGGGGCTTGGATAACAACACCATGGTGGGGAGCGTGTGTCCTCCCAGCCACGTGGTTGAGGAGCTGGTGCTCGGGGACAGAGGCAAGACTGTCCAGAGAGCCCTGGGTGGGCCGTGCCTGGCACCTGTGTGTGTGTGACAGAGGCAAAGACAGAGACAGAGTCCGCGTCCTTGTACAGGGTGCGGGTCTTCTCTCTGTGTCAAGCGCTTGAAGCAGATTTTGGCTTCTATGTGCAAACCTGGCCCACCGCAAGGGGTCCTGGTGGGTAGCACCTGCCTCTCTCCTGCAGGAACGCATCTTCCTGACCCTGTCCAATTACATCTTCACCGCCGTCTTTCTGGCTGAAATGACAGTGAAGGTGACGGTGGGCTTTCGGCGCTGGTTCGGGCCCCTGCTTCCTGGCGGGCGTGGGGATGGTGGAACTCGCTGAGGGTGGCAGGGCCGGCAGCGGTGGAGGGAGGGTCGGGGACTTCAGGGAGGGTGGCCGGTGACGAGGTGGCTGTGGTCCCCAGGTGGTGGCGCTGGGCTGGTGCTTCGGGGAGCAGGCGTACCTGCGCAGCAGCTGGAATGTGCTCGACGGGCTGCTGGTGCTCATCTCTGTCATCGACATCCTGGTGTCCATGGTCTCCGACAGCGGCACCAAGATCCTGGGCATGCTGAGGGTGCTGCGGCTGCTGCGGACCCTGCGCCCGCTCAGGTGACCTCCCTCTCCACCCACAAGGTGTTTACCTCGGGGCCACTTCCCACCGCCACACCCCCAGGCCCGCAGATGACTCTCACTTCATGGTGGTGGTGGTTTCCTTTGAAGACATCTTCTTGACCCTCCTTCTCTTCCGAGAGACATGTTCCTCAGGGCCGCCTGTGTGGTGGGACGTGTCATGGCCTCAGCCCTGTCATAGGCACAGGTGGCCTCCAGCTGAAGCGTTCATTCCCTGGGGGGATGCCTAGCCCATGAGGGGACACACCTGATTCCCAGGGGTCCTCCCCACTCCCAGCCTGACCAGGGAACACATTTGCTGTCCTGGAAGTGGGGGTGTCTGCCACCTGTTTGAGGGGATCAGGGCTGAGGGTCCTCATGGTGGGGGTCTCCTGAAAGGAGGACTTGGCAGTGAGCCGAGTGGGGAGGGCAACCCCTCTCACCCTCCTCGCTGTACCCCCCAGGGTAATCAGCCGGGCCCAGGGGCTGAAGCTGGTGGTGGAGACGCTGATGTCCTCCCTGAAGCCCATCGGCAACATTGTGGTCATCTGTTGTGCCTTCTTCATCATTTTCGGCATCCTGGGGGTGCAGGTGTGCAGGGGCCCAGGGGTCCATGAAAGCCTGAGGACCAAGAGCCCTCTTCTCTTGGTCCCGAGGTTCAAGCTGCTGCCACCATCATCCAGAAAGGATTTAACAGGAGCCCTTCCTCCCCGGGCGTAGGCCGCCGTCCCCTTCTCTTCTGGGGGACCGAGCGGAGGCCCCAAGGGGACATGGCCTCAGAGAAGCTCCAGGCCCATGGTAGCTACAGGCTGCTGTCCTTCCCCCAGCGCGCTCCCCGGGCAGACGCAGCTGCTGGCCTGCACCCCGACTCCGGGATCTCCTCCCTTCCTTCCCCACTCGGGCTGCACGCCAGGCCTGGGGATCCAGGGCCCAGACAGCTGGGCCAGGTTAGCAGCGTGCTGGCAGGCGGGCGGGTGCAGACCCCAGACAAGGCAGGAAGTGGGGGCTGCGGGGGAAACCTGGCTTCTGGCCCAGGGAGGAAATTTGGCTTTGGAGGAAAAAGAGCCAGAGCTGCCTGTAGGATTCAGCAGCCGCCTCAGGGGACTGGAGAGCCCCTCCACCCTGTCTTTATCTTCCAGGGTCCCCGTCCCAGCTGCAGGGCAGACAGCTGACTCTTGGGGTGGTATGGGAGCTCCTGGTGGCTACCATCCCCATCCCCTCCCTTCTTCCTGTGGTTCCCAGGATATCCACTGCGCCCTGGGGAAGGGCTGTCCCTGGGTTTCCTAGAAATTCCCCAGCCCCAGGGACCAGGCTACATTTGCCAAAGCTGTGTGGAGCCTCTCTGCTGGGTCCCCCACCCCACACAAGCCCAGCGGGGAGCCCTCCCCTCCCCACCTCTCATCCTCCTGGGAGGGCAAGCTATTGTTGAGGCCAGTCCCGGGGCTCTTCCGGTGGGTTTAGGTCTGACCCAAGCAGCGCACTGGGGGCCTTGATCCTCCTTTCCCTCCAGTCACTTCCCGCCCACCCCCCAGTGGTCACAGCCTGATCTACACTGGAAGAGGAGGGAACTTTCCAGACAGATCTGGGTTCCAGCCCCCTTTTGGCCACCCACTGGGAACCTCCGCAAGGGCCAGTGACTGACCCCAGATCTGAGTACCCCATTCGGGATGTGCCCAGACCCTGTAGGCCCCAGGGCTGGGGAGTCCTGGTTTCCCGGATCACAGCTCACTTCTCTCTGTCCCTGGCATACGTGTGCTTCCAGCTCTTCAAAGGGAAGTTCTTTGTGTGCCAGGGCGAGGACACCAGGAACATCACCAACAAGTCCGACTGTGCTGAGGCCAGTTACCGGTGGGTCCGGCACAAGTACAACTTTGACAACCTCGGCCAGGTGAGCCTCAGGCTTGGGGGTGGAGTGGTGGTGGCAGGAGTCTGGAGGGGACATGAGTCCATTGTGCTGAATGGGATATACCCACGCGGTTGGAGAGATTGGCAACCACAAAGACCGGCCCCTGGCTATCTAACCAGCAGGCTCAGTCCACCCCACATGTCCAGCAAGGCAGCTCACAGGGCCTCTAGCTCCCCGGAAGATGGAGACATGTGGGCCCACAGAGCTGAAGACTCACCCAGGGCCACCGTGCCACATGGCAGAGCAGCAAGCACACATCAGATTGGGTGCAGGCAGCCTGGATGTGAATCATTTGTCAAATGAGCACCGTTTGCCAGCCCAGTGACCTTGGGCGGCTGTCCTGCCAGGGCCTCAGTTTTATCAGCCCGCGAATGGGGTCATAGCCATATCTCTTTGGCCTCAGGGTGATGGTAGAAAGCGAGGCTGTCTATGCTTGCTTATGTGGTTGGCTGCATATTGCCAAGACAGTTTCTTTTCACTCCACATTTGCACACACAGAAGTGCAAGAGGTGAAGTGGCTCACTCAATTTGGCTGGCTTTGGTGTCTGAACTCCCAGGGCTCTGGGGTCCCTTCCCCTGTCTGGCTGGAGTCAGAGACTGTGGTCATCTCTCTTGGCTTTGGGCCAGCCATCGAGCTCTGGGGCAGAGTATGCTCCTGGGGACGGGAGATGACGCCGGCCTGACCTCCCAAGGGCTGGACACCCCACAGCTGCTACCAGGAGACAATCTGGTGGCAGGTGGTGGGTGGTTCAGCCACACATTCTAGATGTCAAGTGGCCTATCTCCTTCTCCTCCTGCTTCTGCCCCTGCCCCCGCAGGCCCTGATGTCCCTGTTCGTGCTTGCCTCCAAGGACGGTTGGGTGGACATCATGTACGACGGGTTGGATGCTGTGGGCGTGGACCAGCAGGTGAGGCTGAGGTGGGCAGGAGCTGACGCCAAGCAGAGCAGGGCAAAACGCTGGCCAGAGAGAGTGACATTAGAGAGGGTCGCATCTTACAGCAGGGCTGTGAGGCAGATCTGGCCATGTTTTATTGGCCTGCGACACATTTAAATTTTTTGCAAGTAGCGATGAAAATTTAAAAGTCGGTGAACCTGAGATGGAAATCTAGCTGCTCAGGGAGTCACAAGCCCAAGGAGCACTGGGCAGGATTCAGGTGGAACAAAGCAACGGCGGGTGGATGGATGGATGGATGGAGAATCTCTCCTTTGCCCCACGCCCACCCCGCCCCAGTGCCTAGCACCAAACCCACACCATCCACGCCCACTCAGGCCGCGCACACAGGCAGCGCCCGGGACAGTTCGCCCTCGGGCTGATGCCTCGGCCTGTCCTTCCTGCTCCTGCCAGCCCATCATGAACCACAACCCCTGGATGCTGCTCTACTTCATCTCGTTCCTGCTCATCGTGGCCTTCTTCGTCCTGAACATGTTCGTGGGCGTGGTGGTCGAGAACTTCCACAAGTGCCGGCAGCACCAGGAGGAGGAGGAGGCGCGGCGGCGCGAGGAGAAACGACTTCGGAGGCTGGAGAAAAAGAGAAGGAGTAAGGAGAAGCAGATGGCCGGTCGGTAGTCTTTCCACCTCTCTCTGGGTCGTGCTTGACCTTGGCCTTGCAACTGCAGGGGGCTGGGGGCTGGGGGCTGGGGCCGGGGGCCGGGAGAAGCTGCTCCCACCCCTCTCCTCATCTCCTCCCGCCAGCAGCATGTCTGCCTTTAGAGCCCGCATGGAGCAGACCTGGTCAGCCCCGTGGGCGAGGGCACTGCCCACCCCACAGGCTCCCTGGTCTCAGCCTCATGCTCCCCAGGCGGGAGCTGGCGCATGGCCTCTCAGTGTGACTCTCAGAGGAGCCTCAGGGCTTGGGAACCTGGTGCCACATTGCCCCGTGCTGGTGAGCAGTGACCCGGGACGGGCACAGGTGCCAGCCCAGCCTACCCGAGGGTTGCCTAGCAAGCGTCTTGACCCCTTGCCTGCCTAGTTCAGCAGCTGCTGAGCGAGATCTCGGCAGGACCCACAAAGGGACAGCGGCTCAGCCCTCCCTCCCGCTAGGTTCAACGAAACTACCGTGACCCTAATTGTCAGGGCTTTTGCCAAACTCAAAAAACAGAAAGAAATCCGCCCCATGGCCCACGACGACCCTCAGTTGCTCCCCTGTGCTCCCAGCATCTGCTGCACGGGTGGGTGAGCCTTGTGCTATCCCTCCTTGTGCCCCAGTGTCACAGAGGTGCTGGGTGGTGGGAAAAGACCCGCTGGCCCTGGGCGGCAGGGTGTGTGAGGAGCGGCTGGCAGGAGCCAGTGTGTTTGTGGTGCGGCTGCAGGTGCGCGAGCACCTGGCTCCCAGCCGGCCATCCGGGCTCCTGGGTGTCTGCTATCCACGGTCTCCGCACCTCTCTCTCCGTCACAGCCCACGCCCCTCCACGTGTCTCTGTGTGGGTTCCCAGCCTCTGTGTCTATCCCCGTTTGCTCTGTGAGTTTCCCTTCCTCTCCACCCTCTCACGAGCCGTCTTCGCTCCGCCGCTAAGATGCGTGCAGGGCTCTGCGTTTTCCCGGTGGTGTGGAAAAGTGAGTACCGCCGGGTGACTCAGGGCTGCGGGGAGCCCTCTGCCCTCAGCTGTGACAGGCACCTGGAGGAGAGGGGAGAGCGTGGGAGTCACACATGGGGTGGGGGAAGGGCCGGTGCCGCTCCAGGAAGGGACACTGGGGCAGGCATGGATAGTGCAGTTCTCTGTGCTTGTGTCCCTCCACCAGCCCCCAAGATGCCTGTCTGGCTCCAGGCTAGGGATCTGCTCTCCGCTTCTCCCTAGAGTCCCAAGCCGAGCGGGGGCCCTGTCCCCAGCGCCCCACCCCACCCCTTCTCCATGCACCCTGCACCCCTCAAAGAGGGCTGCCTCCCTCGGCTGGGCATCTACAGATGGAATTCTTTTGGCAGGAGGTACCATGGCCCCCGCCCGGCCAGCTGGCTCCCCTCCTGGGGTCTGGCGCTGCTCAGGTGCAGCTGAGGCCATGGCGCGGCGAGAGAGGACATCTGCTCTGGGGACAGGCTGCCCGCCCCTCCCAGCGCCTTCCCGCGCCCCATGACCCCAGTGAGCTGGCTGAATCATTAATCTTCCTCAAGTGCCTGTGGCCCCCGAACTGGGGCTGTGATTGACAGTCAGCTGCCCGTGCTCGGTGCACCCCATTCGTAGGCAGAGCGAGGGTCGGAGCTGAGGGGGAGCCAGCCGTGAGGGGCCCTGCCCAGCGCACCTGGGCCGGCCAATGACCAATGTCGTGTTTCGTTCTTTTAGATCTAATGCTGGACGATGTAATTGCTTCCGGCAGCTCAGCCAGCGCTGCGTCAGGTACTGCGTCTGGGGCGTGGGTTCATGCGTGTGGGGAAGTGCTCTTTGCCCCTCCCCATGGCTCCTTGACTCTGTCCTCTGGGGTTCAAGGCTAAGGGTCCCTGAGGCCCCCAAGAGGGCAGGGGCTGAAGCACTGCGGTCTCCGTCATCGCACGGACCTGTGCTAAGTGGGGACCCTCTGCTAGGAGGTTTCCGGCGGAGCCCCTGGCCCGCCGCTGCCTCCTCCCTGCACCCCCTTGTTGCTCCCACCGTTCGATTATTAGAGCTGCAAATCTCTGTCTCCTCTTGTCTGAAGGGGAGACTTTGATCTGAGGGAGCAGGTTGAGAGGAGCAGAGGGAAGGATTTGTTTTAGAAATGTAACGATGCATAATTGAACAAGCTCATTAATAGTCAAGTAATCATGGTGGCCACGTCATTGCTACAAACAGCAGGAATTGGGAACCAAAGGCCTGAGTTGGCTACAAGCTTTCTCCAAAAATCCCAAATGTTTGGGAGTGAGTCAGGTCCTTATCTCCAAGAGCTGTGTCTCTGGGAAGACCTCCCCGTGCCTCCTGCCCTCCCCTGCCCTTGGTCCTTGGTCCCTTTGCCCCCCCATACAGGTCCCCAGTTGGAGGTTTGGAGGGTCAGAGAGTCTGACAGGGCTGTGGGGCCTTGTCACACCCCCTGGTGTCTCCGCCTGATGGTTCCCAAGCTGTTTATCCTCTGGATCCCCCTTATCTCCTCCTCCTGCAGACCCCACAATTTGAAAGACTGTCTCTGGAATTAACAGCACTTCCATGAGTTTGTTTCACCGGTTTTACTAATCAAGGGCACATCTAATTGCTAATCAGAGCTTCTGAGCTGCAGAAGGTTACATATTGAAAGATGGGAGAAAAGGAGCATTTTGCCATTAAATCACCCTGTGGGGTCTTAACATAGGCAAACACTGGATTCTTCCAAGCTTTTGGAAATACAGCACAGAATCAAAGGACCCTCTCTGGCTGCCTCCTGAGGCTGCCGAGGGCTTGGACTGGGACGGGAACCATTTGCTGTCCTACTCTCCACTCTTCCCATCGCCCTACTTGGCCAGGCACCACCCTGGAGGTGCTGGGCGGCCTGATCTTAGTGGGTGCAGGGGCCTATTCAAGGGGAACCTGTGAGCCTTTATCCGGTCATCATCCCTGATGGCCGTGGCAGATCCACACCTCCTGTCCCCAAGGTGCTAAGCTCTATATTTGGTGTTGAGACACCATTTCTCTGGGGGCTCAGGAGTCTCTGGCTGGTTTGTGTCTGGGTTGTGGGGGACTCCATGTCTCTGTGTCAGGCTGTTCTGTGAATCCCTGAAGTGTTAGGGAATGAGGGGTAGATGGCCTTCAGCTTTTCCCTTATGGGTCACTAGGGCTGCAGGCTGAAGTAGGTGAGCCCATTTATGCTCACCCCAAAACACCACCCTAGCCTTGGGCTGGCCCACTGATGTCCCCATCAAATTGATCATCCCAGGAATCAACACGTGCTGACTCACAGCCCCCAAGATATGACACACTGACCCCACAGTCAATACTGCACCCGCACGCTTGGGTCTTCTGCCCTGATCCTGTTGGCACAGGCGTTAGTTTCCCTGGCTGTGAGTGAGGACCCAGGGATCTTGAACAAGGGTGCAGATCATCCCGTAACCCTCTTCCCAGGTCCTGGGGTTTCCAGGAGGGTCTAGCCCAGAGCTCTCCAGAATCACCCAGAGAGCTTACGCACACTGATTCCTAGGCCCCACTGGGGTGCTCTGAGAGTGGTCTGGGGACTGCATTTCCAATCAGCTCTGGGGGTGATGGGGGACAAAGTCAACCTGTCAGACCCAGGGCAAAGCTCAAAAGAAGAGTCTGATTTCCAGGGGAACAGGCCTGACCAGACACCTGGGGCTGCTGAGGGGCCAGGCCTCCTCGGCCACCGATGGCAGCCGCCTCCACTCACCCTTTGTCCTTCCCCTGGGCAGGACCCACAGCAGCCAAAGGCGAGGCCTCTGCTGAGGGAGCCGTATCCCAGGAAGTGACCCTGCCTTCCCCGCTCGCCCTGTCACCGTCCTTTGCCAACCCTCTGCCCTGGCTGTGCCTCAGGCTCCCGATGACCCCTACTAACTCACTGCGCCTGTCACTGTCACTCACAGCTCCTTCCTCGCCCCACCTGGCCAGGGGCCTGGTGCTCCTCGGACCCGTGCTCTAGTAGAGGGGCAGGGACAGCCCCAGCACCCACAGGCTTGGGCTAGGGGCGCTGGCATGGAGGGCCGTAAGCAAAAGCCCTGCCTCAGCGGTCCCACCACCACCTCCCTCCTAGTCTGGTAGGGGGGACCTCTGTCTGGATCCAAGCCCACCCAGCTCTCAGAGCAAGGTCGGAAGGCAGAGCCGTGGTGGCAGCAGCTCCTTTTCGCCTGGGGCTGCCTACACAGTCGGGCTGGGGTGACAGGGCCTCTCTCTTCCAGCCTCCCCTCTACATTGTCTCAGCTAATAATGGGACTAATAAGGAGCCGCTTTTTCTAACCTAATTGTATTCAAACATTTTAGTTAATTCTCCATTCATATTTTAGCATAATGGGATCGGGTGCTCTCAGCATTTATGGAGATTAATGCAGAGAAAGAGTTCCGGCTGCTAAGGCAACGCAGGGCGACTAGCGCCCTCTGGTTCTCGCGGTACTGCAGGAAGGAAGAAGTCTGGCAGCCCGACCGCCCTCCACTATCGGGTGTGGATGACCAGTGGCCTCATGCTGTCCCCGTCCCGGGCCTCTCCACCCTCACTCCTGGAGGCCCGGAGGGCCACCCGAGCCTACAAAACCCACTTGGCTGGTCCCTCTCTGAATGCAAAAGGATGGTCTTGTGTACCCCTAAGGTACATGTGACCTTGTCGGGGTCCCTGTGCTCCTGGTTATCCACACCGCAAGGCCGATGTGGAGAGGGGCCGGGCAGGCCTGGAGCAGAGGAGCTGCTCCTTGGGACTCTTCTTCCTTCGGCCTTTGGTGGGGGCCCACCCAAGGCCACTCCCTGCCTCAGTTTACTTCTCTGCTAAGTGGCCCTCTGCATGGGAAAGGATGGTCATATCTGAGCTAACCTGGGCCCAAAGCTTTCTGCCACCCCTAAGCCAGCCAGCCTCCGGCCCGGCTGCAGAGGCTGCAGCCCTCGCTGGTTTCCGCCCGAGAGCTTCCACCCAAGAGGGGAAGGGCTGTCTGGGACCTGAGGCTGCCCGACACCTCCCTGTGGGGAGTCTCGGCCTTCCTTGTGGCTGCCCCCGAGACCGATCTGTGCACACACTCTGGATGCCATGTGCCCCCCACTTGGCATGGCCCTTCCTCAGCACCTGGAGGAGGGGGCCCTGTAATCTCCGGCTTGCACTGCAGGCTCACCTCCTGGCACTGAATTTTATAACTAAGTGGTTGGCTAATTACAAGAGCGGTGCTGTGCCTGTGACAGATCTCAGACAGTGCTTCCAGCCCAGCCTGCGTGCTCGTGCCGTCCCGACACCCAGGGGCAGGCTGGGTGCGGCCTCGTTAGAAACTGGGTGAGTCTGTTGGGGGCCCTCCCAGCTTGCATCTGGGACAGGGCAGAGCCTTGCACCCTCCCCACGGCCCTTCTCAGCATGAGGCTGTCGGAGACCCATGCCCTATCCCTGGAGGCCCCGTGGCGGCTCAATGCAGCCGGCCAAGAAGATGTCAATTTGCAATCTCTGGCTCTATCTGCAAATCCCAGCGCTGAGTGATCTCCTCTGCTCCCTCAGCGGCTGAGCCGGGAGAAGGGTTGACAGAGCCCCCTCTGAGCCCCTTATGGCCCGGTGTATTTCATCTTACTGATCTGGCCTCAGTGCCTGCGGAGCTCCAAGGTGTTGGGAGGGGCTGGTGATTTCGGAGGCTGCCTAGAGGAAGGGGGCTCACCTGGTGTCTAATGGGGGTGGGAAGCTCTGCATGTCCTGACCCGTCCTGTGCCCCGACTGCAGCCAGTAGAACAGATGCTTGGAGGGGGCCCTGCCAAGACAGCTGCCCTGAAAAAGGCAGCGAGGGGAGGGCGAGGACACTGATGACACGGAATGTTTGGCTCTGGCGTAGAGGCTGGCGGCTGGGAAGGGCTGCGGGGGGAGGGGCTGGGGGGGCAGAGGCTCACATGACCCCTACTCTCCACCCTGCTCCTCCCAGAAGCCCAGAGCAAACCCTACTACTCCGACTACTCCCGCTTTCGGCTTCTCGTCCACCACCTGTGTACCAGCCACTACCTGGACCTCTTCATCACAGGTGTCATCGGGCTGAATGTGGTCACCATGGCTATGGAACATTACCAGCAGCCCCAGGTAAGAGTGAGTGACTGGTCACCAGCCCCTGACATCCCACCTGGGGCCCCTGGGTGGGGCTCACATAACCTGAGCCCGGGCAGCTCTACACCAGGTGAGCATTGGGCACATAGCATGGGTTCCTTGTGGCTGTCATCCTCTTTTCATAAGGAAGGACGCTGAGGCTCAGAGATTGGTTGGTTTGACTAACGTCACACAGCTGGGCAATGAGGACCGGATGTCATCACCAGCGAATTTTTACTGAGCATCTAGAATGTGCTGGGCTCTGGATTATTGAGTGTACAGCAGACCAGGGCCTGCCCTTCTAAAGTTAGAGTCTAGTGAATGTCTAGCTCCAGATCTCACCTATGATCTTGCCACTTCTCCGATCATCCTCCCCCAGCAGCCCTCAGTTTTCCCCTCTGTACAATGGGGAGACTGAATTGGTGATACACAAAACTCCTTGTAGTCCTGGCATGCTGGGCCTTCTGGCACTTTCTTGTGTGGTTTTCTCATCTCTCAAGGAGAGGGGAGATCCTTTAGCACAGGTTTGAACTGTTCACGTGAACAAGGCCTCTACCGTCTCTGGGGGTGGTGGCCGATGGTCAGCCATCATGGTGGGAACAGGAGAGATAGATCCCTTGGGACCCCTCCTGTCTCCACATCTGGGAGAGGTGGGGACAGAGGGGCTGAGGTGGGCATCCGCCTGGGCCTGCAGAGACCCTGCCTCCTGCCCACTTTCCTGCCAGATCCTGGACGAGGCTCTGAAGATCTGCAACTACATCTTCACGGTCATCTTCGTCTTGGAGTCAGTTTTCAAACTGGTGGCCTTTGGCTTCCGCAGGTTCTTCCAGGACAGGTAACAGAGAAGAGAGGGGGAGGGGAGGAGTCCGGGGTGGGGGTGTTGCTGTGACTCCTGGGAAATTACCCAGACGGACCTAGTGCCTGGAGACCCTTCTTGACCCCTGGGATCCAGCCCCCAACCTAGGGCTGACCGGTGGTGCGCAGAGCCTCCGGGCTCTGGGAGATAGGAAGGAATTTAACAAGACAGGACTTAGAGGCCACTGGCAGCTAGATATCCATGTAGCCTAGCCTGGGGTTTAAGGGCACAGAACCTGGTGCCAGCCTGCCCAGACTGGATTCAAATCCTTGTTCTTCTGCCCCTTATAGCTGGTGACTTAGGGTAAGTTACTTAACTCCTCTGGGCCTCACTTGCCTCACCTATAAAGTGAGATACAGTAGTAAGCATCCGCACCACCATGGTGAGAGTCTGGACTCCTACTTGTAAATTCCTTAAAGCAGTTCTGGGCACAGAATAGACACCGTGTACGTGCCAAATAAAAGAGCAGGTGAATGACAGTGCAAAGCCCTGTCCCTGGAGACCCTGGAGCTAAGGTCTAGTCCTGCCTTCCTGTGCCCCAGCTGGCTATGTGCCCTTGGGTAAGCCACGTCCCCTCTCTGCAGGACGGGAGGCTGCCCCCGCTGACCTCTGCTCTTTCCGGTCAGGTCTTTCTGTGCCACACCGGTCCCTCCCCCTCCCCCTCCCCCTGCCCCTCCCCCCACTCAGGGAGCTGTGTCCCCGGCTTTCCAGGTGGAACCAGCTGGACCTGGCCATCGTGCTGCTGTCCATCATGGGCATCACGCTGGAGGAGATTGAGGTCAACGCCTCGCTGCCCATCAACCCCACCATCATCCGCATCATGAGGGTGCTGCGCATTGCCCGAGGTTGGTCCCTGCTCTCTGCCCACTTCCTGCCTTCCCAGAGGACACAGCAAGCACCAACAGGGAAGGTCTGGGGCTGGTGTGGGTACAGACCGGCTGGCATCCTGGGTGTCCCACCAGCCCTGACCCAGCCTTGCCTGGCTCCACCCACTGGGTGACCAGGGCCTCAGAGGGGCCAGCTCATGACCTTGTCCTGTTCTGCAGTGCTGAAGCTGTTGAAGATGGCCGTGGGCATGCGGGCGCTGCTTGACACGGTGATGCAGGCCCTGCCCCAGGTAGCTGGAAGGGGTGTGGGCCGGGTCCTCTCGGCAAGGGGGCAGCGGCCTGCACAGGGACAGGGGGCTCGGGCAAGCTGGGGACCGGAAGATCTAGCAGCACTGTTTCTGTTTCTTTCCCTCTCTTCCAGGTGGGGAACCTGGGACTTCTCTTTGTGCTGTTGTTTTTCATCTTTGCAGCTCTGGGTGTGGAGCTCTTCGGAGACCTGGGTGAGTTGGGGTTGGGGCTGGCAGAGGGGCTGGGGCTGGCGCTGGAGGCTGAGGAGCTCACTGGAACCTCTGTCCTCCCCCAGAGTGTGACGAGACACACCCCTGCGAGGGCCTGGGGCGGCATGCCACCTTCCGGAACTTTGGCATGGCCTTCCTGACCCTCTTCCGCGTCTCCACGGGTGACAACTGGAATGGCATCATGAAGGTGAGGCCCTGCTCGAACCCCAGGCCTCCCACAGCTGGCTTGGGCACCAAGAGGCAGTCCCACTCTTTCAGCCAAGATTCATGGGTAGATGAATTGGCCATGGATGAAAGCGTGTGCCCTTCTGTCCCCTGTCCAGAACACTCTGGAACTCCCTCTCCCTGGGACATGCCCTGACTCACACGTCGGCCGCAGCTGACGCTCTTCTGTCCCCGGGACAGCGGGGCTCCCTCCTTCCCCTTCCTCTCTCCTCCCTTGATGCGTGTGACACCGATGGCCTGGTTTTCCACAACAGCTCCGTCCGCCATCCTCCCGGCCTCATACCTCTGTCCTGCCTCCCCAGGACACCCTCCGGGACTGTGACCAGGAGTCCACCTGCTACAACACCGTCATCTCGCCCATCTACTTCGTGTCCTTCGTGCTCACAGCCCAGTTCGTGCTGGTCAACGTGGTGATCGCCGTGCTCATGAAGCACCTGGAAGAAAGCAACAAGGAGGCCAAGGAAGAGGCCGAGCTGGAGGAGTCGATGAGCTGGGAGCACAAGAGGCAAAGTGTGAAGGACAGAAAGGAGGTGGTGAGAGCCAGGGAAATTGCTCTTTGGTGGAAGGAGACTGGAAGGCGGGGAAGAGGCCGAGCTGGAGGCTGAGCTGGAGCTGGAGATGAAGACCCTCAGCCCGCAGCCCCATTCGCCACTTGGGAGTCCCTTCTTCTGGCCTGGGGTCCAGGGTCCCGACAGCCCCAAGTCCAGGGCCCCATACAAGGCAGCCCACTCCCTCGAGCACCCCACGGTGAGCCTGCAGCACCCCTGTGAGAGCCGGCGGCGTGGGGGGGGGGTGGCCGGCCAGCAGCTCAGCGGGTGGCGGGCAGGGAGCCCAGCAGAACCCAGGGCTCCTCCTAGATCCTCCAGTGCTGAGAGACCAGCAGCAGAGACGCAGGGCCACCCTCAGCAAAGTGGCCGCAGACGTGCTGGCCTGTCCCCCACTCCTCCAGCCTGGTGTGGCCTCCCTTCCTGGCTCTTAGGTTCAAGGCTAAGTTTTCTGTTTCCTTCCTGTTTCTCTCTTACCCTCGCCCGGTTGCTGAACCTCCTTCCTGCCCACCTTTAATCCTACTCACCTTCCCTTCATCCCACCATCCTTTCTACCAATCCCCCTTCCCGCACCCTCCCTCCCCCTCATCGTCCCTTCCCCCCGTCCCCTCCCCCTTCCCTACCGCTCCCCTTTCTTGTCTCTCTGTGGCTGTGTGTGTACACGTGTGCACGAGCGCATGTCCTGTGGGTGTCCCCTCCTCTCCTCCCTCCGCCCTCGTCAAACCCGGCCATGACGATTCCCGTCACTGCCCCTCTGCCCCCTGCTCCCCCGACGCCCCTTGCGGGCTGGTCCTCCCAGGACGGACAGCTGTTTGACACCATCTCCCTGCTGATCCAGGGCTCCCTGGACGGGGAGCTGAAGCTGATGGACGAGCTGGCGGGCCCAGGGGGCCAGCCTTCGGCCTTCCCCTCCGCCCCCAGCCCGGGCGGCTCCGACCCACAGGTTACTGTGCCCTGCGCTGCGCCCCACCCCAGCTGTGCCATGCTGTGCTCGCTTTTGGGGAGGCTGGGTGCAGAGAAAGAGCAGCTGCAGGGCCGGTGGAGGTTGGCAGGAGGCAGTTGGGGGCGTCTAGGCTGCTCTAGAACCAACATGGAAGGTGGGGCACTGAGAATACCCTTCGAAGGGAGGAGGGGTGCAGGAAGGGTCAGAGGGGCCTCGTGAGGAAGAATCTGGAAGGGGAGGGGGAGGGGCAGCGGGACCTGAGGGGTTTCTAGGGACAGTGGGTGAGCAGGGAACCATACCAGGCATGTCTGGAGCCACAGGCTATTTCTCTCTTGTGTCCAGTGCCCACCCCTGGTCCTCTGGTGGCTCTTTAAGCCATTGGGCATGGTGAGCACTCTCAGTAGCCGGCCACTTGGGTCCCGATGTGGATTCTGGGACCTTGTCACGAAACAGGACATGCCCAGCCCAGTCCCTTCCCATAGCGCCTGGCACATCCGCGTCCAGAGCTGCTGCTTCCTGGGCGCCTCCTCTCCTCGCCTTGGCCCAGGGCCCCTGCCATCCCCCGGGTCAGGGACACTGCAGACCTGGAGCAGGCAGAACCCGCCAGGTGTCACCCGAAGATGGAAGAGCTTAGTCTCACAGGCCTTGCTGGGTGGAGGGGTGGGCGGGCAGGTGCCTAGGAAGCCTTTAGCCAGATCCAAAGACACAGGCAGTGACTGGCACGTGGTGAGGGCCCGTGCCTTTGGCGGATCCTGGCTCAGGGCTGGCAGTGACCTAGCAGGATCAGCGGGGGAAGTGAGTCCCTTCCCTGCACCTCCCATCCTGAAGGAGGCTCACAGGAAAGGTGACAGGAGAGGAGAAGGGGTGATGGGAAGGGGATCAGGGTAGCTGCCAGCCCGGTGCCCTCTCCCCCAGGGTTCTGGAGTCCCCGCAGCCCCCCTGCAGACCGCAGGTGAGCCAGCCAGATGGTGTGGCGGCCCTGACGTGCCCACTGGAGGCTGGCAGGGACGGCACCTCCCAGGACCCGAGCTGGGAGGAGAGGGCGGGCGGGCTTCAGGCTGCCGGCAGGTGGAGGAGGGCCTGCGAGGGGGGAAGGCAGGATCTGGGGGCAGGCCAAGTCCTGCCAGGCTTTTGGAAGCAGAGAGAATAGGCAGAAAACAGCCGCCAGCGCCCCCCACGCCGCTCTGTCTGCGCCAAGAGGAGAGGAGACGGCTTCGCTGGCCTTTCTTTTTCTTCTTCTTTTTTTTTTGTGGGTATCGTTTTTATGGGCGTCAAAGCCCTGGCTCCTCCGCTCCCTGCCTGGGTAGTGGTCGTGTAGGAGGGGGCTGCTCGGGTGCCTGGGGTATCTTTAGAATATGTCTCTGTGTCTCTCCGCTTTGTCCCTGTTTGCTCTTTGGTGCCTGCCGCGGACTCTCTGATCGGAGCAGGGGGTTGCAGTGGGTGAGGGGAGGCGCAGTCTGATTATCTGGGAAAGGGGTGGGGCGCGGGCGAGGATGCCTCCCCCACCCCTGCTTTGCGGAAAGGGGAATTGCAGCGTCCTGGTTTCTCATGCCTGGTCATCTCTCTCCTGTCTAGATCCCTCTAGCTGAGATGGAGGCGCTGTCTCTGACGTCAGAGATTGTGTCTGAACCGTCCTGCTCTCTAGCTCTGACGGATGACTCTTTGCCTGATGACTCTCACACACTCTTACTTAGTGCCCCGGAGAGCGGTGTACATGCATACGCCCCTCATGCCCCCCTGGCCAGCCGGGCCGGGCTGGCTGCAAGGCTCCAGGTCCTCGCCCCCTCTGTCACCAGCCCCTGCCCAGAGGCGCCCACCTCGGGCTCTTGGTGTCCCAGTCTTCATTGGCACCAGGCCTCTCATGGCCCCCCACAGGGGACCAAGACATTAGAGAGGATGCAATGGAAGCCTTGTCCAGAGGGGCCGCAGTTGTGAAAGGGTCACTCCAGGAGTGACACAGCCCAAAACAGAAGTGGCCTCAGAGCCAGCCTCTGTGTTTGGAGCCCTGTGCAGGCCAGCCCTCCCCTCTCTCGCTGCTCCTTCCCCCTGTCCCTCACATGAGATGTCACCACCCCCAAGCGGCGGGAGCCACACCTCCGGCGTCACCACCATGCCTTCCTTCACCTGGGGGCTGCTCCTGTCTCCTTGTCACCGTCCCTGTGTGTCCCTGTGTCCCGTCTCCTGATTGTGAGCAGCCCCTCCTCCTGGCCTGATGTCAGAGCGGGGCCCAGGTGGGGCAGGACCTTCACCACAGGCCAGGGGTCCCAGGTGGGGTTGGGAGCTGGCTGAGTGGGGCCTGGGACTGAGAAGGAAGCAGAGGACCCAGGTTGTCCTCTGGCATAGCTGTCCCTGGCCTGCTGGGGCTGTACGAGGACAGGAGCCCTAGGCCGCCTCCCTGAGTCCAGGAGAACTAGGAAAGGATCATTCAGGGGAAGGGGGCCCGAGGGGGCAGACAGCGAACCCGAGCTCCCCCCAGCAGGGCCCAAGGCTCATTACCCCCTTTCTTTGAAACAGATGCCCCAAGCCCATTTCCACCCCTGTGTCCGCAGAGCGGGGAACGGAGTCCGTAGTACTCAGGCCTTGCCACCCACCCCTACCCTCCAGGGTCCCTGTGTGGCTGCAGTGGGCCACGATGGTGCTGATCTATCTCTCAGCTGCCTTAACCCAGCTCAGCTGGTCCCCCATGGGTGGCAGGGCTCCCTTCAGAGCCTCCAGGGGGCCCTAAGAAAGCACATGGCAACCGCCATAGGGCCAGGGAGTAGGGGCTGCTCTCCTTTCTTGGATCCCCCTTACCCCGACCCCGACCCCGCTGGGAGGCTCGCAGGTGATGCCAGGGGCATGGGTGGGGGGCAGGGCCTCCCCACCCTTCCTCCCGCTCAAGGAGGGCTCATGTGTGTCTGCCCCACCCCCACCTCATGCCCATCACCACCTTGTCCTTGGGGGGGGCAGGGCTTGGGCCTGGTGGGCTGGGGGCTACTTTCCCTCCTCCAGCTCTGCCTCGCTACCGACCCAGTGCCTCCCCCTCACCCCTGCCCTGCTCCTTCTGCAGATGGAGCCCCACCCTGAAGAGGCGCCCGGTGCCCAGGGGCCAGACTTGCTGACCGTGCGGAAGTCTGGGGTCAGCCGGACGCACTCTCTGCCCAACGACAGCTACATGTGCCGGGATGGGAGCACGGCTGAGGCGTCCCTAGGACACAGAGGCTGGGGGCTCCCCAAAGCCCAGTCAGGTACTACCAGGGCTGGGGCAGGGCAGCTTGCTCACACAGAGGGGCCCCAACCTTGCCTGAGCCCAGCCCTGAGCAAGGGGAGTCATCGAGGCCACGGGAAAGGTCTCTTCTACCTCTGGAGGGGCCCAGCCCCTGCGTGAGGGGGCCCACCGTGGGAGTGGGGTGGCTCTTAATCCAGGGGGGCAAAGTCTGGGCCCTGATAGGGTAGGACCGAGGGGCTCAGGTCTCCTCCTCACCCTTCCGCCCCCTCCGCAGGCTCCATCCTGTCCGTGCACTCTCAGCCTACAGACACCAGCTACATCCCACAGCTTCCCAAAGACGCACCCCACATGCTCCAGCCCCGCAGCGCCCCCACCTGGGGCGCCATCCCTAAGCTGCCCCCACCTGGCCGCTCCCCTTTGGCTCAGAGGCCCCTCAGGCGCCAGGTGAGGAGGAGGGGGAGGGCGGGACTGTCAGCCAGTGGCCACTGGGGGTGGCATTTTCCTTCCCCCGCAAACGCTGAGCCCCAGGGATGTGCTAGACTGCGCTCCAGGGACCAGGGACGAGCAGAAACGGCCTGTGTGTGCCTGGAGTTTGACCCCCTCCCCTTGTTTCATTGCCGAGGCCAGAGGGGAGCTGTGACTGCCCAGGGCCACACACCTCTAGGTGGGAGTAGGGCAAGGCCTCGGGGATCCCTTCCCAGAGCTCTGCTCTGTTCTTCACACTTTGAAACTGCCCGGGACCGGAGGCAGGTCTTAAGTGTCTTCACTTTTGGCCAAGCCTGGGCCACCATCCAGAGCCCACATTGCAGAGGGACAGAGCACAGACTCCTGTAGCAGGTGAGGCTTGTCCGCTGCGCCTATGGCCTTGGCCGTGGCCGGAGCCCATGCCCCAGTGTGTGCCCCAAGCCTGAGCGGGGACAAAAGAGTCTGTGCTGAGTCCGTGCCCTTGGGGAGCAGGCACATCCTCACTGAGCCGCCTGTGGGTACCAGGCTCCAGGGTCACAGCCACTGCCCTCAGAGCTCACAGTCTGAGAGCAGAGACACACATGCCCTCAGATTATCACAGTGGTGGGTTCAGCGGGCGATGCTTACGTGTGGGGTGCAGCAGGGAGCAGAGAAGAGGAAGGGGTCAGTTTTACGTGGGGAGATCACCAGGTGCTGCATCACAGAGAACCCCAGGCGTAGTGGATCTAGAGATCAGGCTGCACACAGCCCCAGCTCCCAGTAAGAGCAACTTGGGGGTCAGGGACAGTGCGTGTTGGAGAGGAGTCCCTGTGCTGAGCCCTCCATCTACTCTGTATAGGCAGCAATACGGACCGATTCCTTGGATGTGCAGGGCCTGGGCAGCCGGGAAGACCTGCTGTGCGAGGTAAGCGGGCCCTCGCCGCCTCTGGCCCGCTCCTCCTCTTTCTGGGGCCGCTCGAGCGTCCAGGTGCAGCACCACTTCCGCAGCCTGAGCAAGGTCTCCAAACACATCCCTCCGCCAGCCCCTTGCCTAGGCCTAGAGCCCCACCAGGGCAAGGGCCCTCCAGAGACCAGAAGCAGCCTAGAGCTGGACACGGAGCTGAGCTGGGTTTCAGGAGACCTCCTGGCCGTCGGCAGCCAGGAGGAGCCCGCTTCCCCACGCGACCTGAAGAAGTGCTACAGCGTAGAGGCCCAGAGCTGCCGGCGCCGGCCTGCGTCCTGGCTGGATGAGCAGAGGAGACACTCTATCGCCGTCAGCTGCCTGGACAGCGGCTCCCAGCCCCGCCTGGGACCAGACCCCGCCAGCCTTGGGGGCCAGCCTCTCGGGGGGCCAGGGAGCCGGCCCAAGAAAAAACTCAGCCCGCCCAGTATCTCCATAGACCCCCCGGAGAGTCAAGGCCCTCGGCCCCCTCCCAGCCCTGGCGTCTGCCTCCGGAGGAGGGCGCCATCCAGCGACTCCAAGGATCCCTCGGCCTCCGGTCCTCCCGACAGCATGGCTGCCTCACCCTCCCCAAAGAAAGACGTGCTGAGCCTCTCGGGTTTGTCCTCTGACCCGGCAGACTTGGACCCCTGAGTCCCGCCCTTGTCCCACTCACCTTTCTCCACTGGGTGCAATTCCTAGCCCTCCTCCTGGGCCGTATTCCTGAAAAAGTCCCACGTAGACACCAAGGAAGGAGCCCTCCCCGCCTCCGCGCCCTAGGTACCTGCAGACGGGACCTCCGGAGGATCCAAAGCCGCAGCCCCGGGAACTCGGGCTCCAGGCAGAGAGAGACAGAGAGAGACAGACAGAGAACGGCCCAGTGGTGGCTGAGTTCCCAACACCAGGAGCTGTTGGGGGAAAGCAATACGTTTGTGCAGAATCTCTATGTATATTCTATTTTATTAAATTAATTGAATCTAGTATACGCGGGATGTACGACATTTTGTGACTGAAGAGACGTGTTTCCTTCCACTTGTATGTGTCTCAGAATATTTTTGAGGCGAAGGCGTCTGTCTCTTGGCTATTTTAACCTAAAATAACCAGTCTAGTTATATCCCCTCTTCTTGCAAAAAAGCACAAGCTGGGACCTCGAGAGCACTACAGCCCCGGCGGCGGCCCACCTTCGGCGGAGAGCAAGAACCGCTTTGGAAACTGTAATGTAACTTATTCTCTCCTTTCACCTCGTCATCGTTTTCTGTAGGGGGTAAAAAAAAAAAAAAAAGAGAGTGAGAGAAAAAAAGAAAAACAGATTTTACCAATGAAATGGAGCCTTTTTATATATATACATACATACATATCTATATATCTATATAAAATAAAGTAATTTTCCAAAATAAAAAGTCAATCACGGTCCAGAATAAAAAAGCAAAGGGGGGACGGAGAGTTAGGTACGTCCAGATGGTCATGCCAGGGCCTGGAGGTGTGGAGTGGGCGGCAGGGTGGGGAGGTTCAGAGATGCGTGTGAGCGTGTGTGTTTGTGCATGAGTGCGTGCATGAGTCGGTACGTGTGTGTGTGTGTGTGTGTGTGTGTGTGTGAGAGAGAGAGAGAGAGAGAGAACCAAATGCCTGGGCCTGGGGGGCTGCAACCTTATTTCATCCCCCACTATGAGAAGGGGAGGCGCCCCCCGCCGGCAAGGCTGGGAGTCAGGGGCTCCTGCTCCTATCAAAGCTTTATCGCGTCCGCCTAGGCAGGCAGCTCAGTGAATGTGAGTAATTCCAGATTAACTCTTATTTCTGCTGACAGCTATCAGCCACGCATTGAAAGCTGGAAATTGGCATAATGAAGCTGTTTTGGTGGCTGGGGCGACTGCGGGCGGGGAGGCGGCCTCAGCTGCCGCGGAGCTGGATCTGTGCGCTGGTGGGGGAGGGGCGGTGCCTCTGGGTTTTCCCGCCCCATGTTTTGGCCTGAATTTTGGCCACTCTCCTGATGGGGTGGGTGACAGGAGGGGTCTGGACTTCCACCTCTGGCCTTGGGTCTCACCTGCCTGCCTGAGGGCAGTGAGATGAAGCAGTGTAAACAGTGGGTTACTGTTTCCCAGGAATGCAGGGAGCAGGCCATGTCCAGAGGTGACCCCTTGGTGTGCCCTGCCGAGGGCGCTGTGGCCAGCTGCGGCATGGGGAGCTGGCCTCCTAAGGGCTGATGAATGACGACTGCGGGCTGCTTCCACGGTCTGCTGCCGCCTGCCCTGTGGGAACCAGCGGAGTGGGGAGGGGTCCGAGGACAGGGGTGGGCGCGTGACCCACAGCCACCTTTCTGAAGCCACCAAGGACACTGAAACACTGCTGTCAAGAGGCCGTGACCACGGGCTCAGCCAGCACGTCTCCTGCCAGAAACCCCCAAACCCGCCCCACCCCCATCCCCTTGGTTTGAAGGCCCCCTCCACCCCGGGGCCTTCAAACCCCAGGTGGGTTGGATTCCTGAAACCTCAACTCCACCGGCAGCTGGGAGCCGGGATGCCAGGCTGCCAGGCAGCTAGACCCGGAGGCGTCTGTTGTCCGGTGTTTCCTGCCCTGCAGGGAGCTGTGCTTGTTGCCCTTTTGGACAGCAATGATTCTCAGCCCCTTGAAGCAAACACCTGGTTTGATCTTCCCAGGGTGTGCAGTAAGGCGGCGCGGGTTCCTCTGACCACCTCCCTCGGGAGGGGAGGTGCTTAGGAGCTGCCTCTTTTTTCCTTTCTTTCTTTGCCTTTTTCGTTTTTCGTTTTTCTTTTTTTTTTTTTTTTTTTTAAGCAAAGCTGTACAAAATTCCTAGAGTTTCGCCACCTGGATCTGCAGATTAAGCTTTTATATCTTTGTAGAATTCTGGAGCTGTCTCTTCCCTGAGGGTGAGGGATTTGGGGAGGGACTCTGCAATCTTTTATTCTTCTGGTCATTAGAACACTGTGGGGCAACGTGAAACAGAACTGGACTGCTGCCCCTGCCCCTCACTTCCCGTCCCTGCCTGTGTCATTTAGGGTGACCCGGCATGCCTTCTCTCTGGGGTTCCCTTTTCCCAGTAGGAGCTGAGGAAGCTTGCTGGGGTGCACTGGCCATGCCTCGGGGTTACTCTCTGTAGAGATGTGCAGTGGTGAATCTGGGGGAGGAAAAGGCTCCCACACCCTCCTCCACCCCCACCAGAGGACGAGAGCATCTCTCTGGAAGGCGGCAGTGCCCAGAGGGGGCATCCAGGCAGTGATGCGGAAGTATTAATAGCAGAATCAGCGTGGCTCTTCGGGCTACTTAGGGAACTGTGGGCTCCCCCAGCAACGCAAAGCCCTTCTCCATGATGGAAGCTTGAGTCCCTGGGGAGGGATGGAGACTAGTAATCATAATGCAGATGCTACCTTTGTGGTGCTTGGTTACTGGATACGGGGCAGGGATGTCTGAAAGAGGCTGGAGGTGGGGAGCAGCCTCAGATCAGGACTTCCGGGGCAGGCTGGGAACTGCCCCTGGGCTGCCGAGATATGGGGGCTTGGGAGCTATGAACATCTACCCTGGCGCTTCTGCCCTCAGTCCTCTCCTGAAATTGTGTCAACAGCATCAGGCCCCCACCTAGGGCTTGGGTGGCTTCTGCTTTCTCCACCCCCAAGCTCCAGGAAAAGGTCTATCTGGGGGTGGGGACTGGGAAGAGGAGTGAGCTGGTGCTAAAAACAAACCCGAGGCTCCTATGCCGTCTCTCACTCACCCCTCAAACACCCAAGCAGAGGAAGTGCCGCTGCTAGCGTTTCTCCGCGCAGCAGCGGGCTCTGAGAGGTTAGGGGACTTGCTCAAGGTCACACAGCCAGGAGATGGCAGAGCTGAGCTTTGCCCCTGGGGCTGGACAACCTACAGTCCGCCCCACCCTGACCTGTTTGTTCTTCCAGCGGAGGGAATGAGGCATGATGGGAAGAGTCTCGCTTACAAAATGAAAGGGGTTTGTGAAAGGGCGAGGGGCCTCCTCGCCGCAGCAGTCACATTGCTGTTTGCAGAAATGTACACGAGTTCTCAGTGTGGTACACCCGGGGGCACCCACAGCCTCCCACCTTGTGGGATACCAGCCTTTGAGCACAGGGAGCGGGGTAGAGGGGTTCAGCCACACCGATGGTGTCCCTCAGCCCCGGGTGCATGTTGGAGAGCAGGCCAAGGTTGGCTCCCCTTCCTGGCACCCTTTCCCTTGAAGCGCATGGCACCTGCTTCCTCCTCTTTCTCCCACCCCTTCCTGTCCTCTAACACCACCCCGCCCAGTCCTCACCCACTTTCCAAACAGCTTTCACTTCCATCTTTGCCCCTAGTCCCCACCCATCCCAGCCTGGTGCCCCATGACCTTTTCTCCACTCTCCTAGGCCACCTGAGTGCCCAACCTGTGGGGCCAGGCCCTGTGACAGCGGTGCAGTTGAGGGCATCAGACACCAGGGGGCAGCACAAGGCACGCTCACCTGGTGCCACCTATGCCCCTGCAAAGGGACAGAGCCAGCGAGAGAAAGGACACCTTCTACAGGTGACCCAGATGCTCTGTCTAACCCCAAAGGAGGTGACAGCTTCGCAGAGCCATATGGAGACACCTGGACAGAATCCCAGCCGCCTGATCCCTGCCTAGGGCCCATGGGCTCAGGACTGGTCCGGGACAGTGTGGCTGTGGGCTAGCATCCTACTCAGAGACAGGACGAGGCAGGTGCTCAGGAAGCCACAGGAGGGAATTCTGTGTGCCTTAGCCAGGTGTGGGAGCGGTGGCTGGAGCCCACGGAGCTCGTTAAAGCTCCCTTTAAAAACTCCAGGACAGGGCGCAGAAGCCAGGCCCCCGTCTGCACAGGGCACAGATGTGGCCATCAGATGCAGCACAGGGGAACCAGGACGGCGGCACCAAGCTAGCGTCTGGAGCACACCGGACAGAAGGGCTCTGGGGTGTGGGGGCTGGAGCTCACTTTGGGGGATGCTCCCAGGAGTCAGGCATGGCTTTGCTCTCCCCGGGGCCACCGCTCCTCGGACCCCTCAGCTCCAACGTGACTGCTGTGCAGCTGCCTTGTGCCTGGGTCTCCCTGTCCCCACGCTCTGCTTTCTTCTCTCTGCCTTTGTGCCCGCTTTGAGCTGCACCTTGCAGCAATCTTATCTCACCATCTCCTGCCAGGAAATCCCTGGTGCTGGGCTCCCTGGGGATGTGCTCACTGCAGGGAGAGGCGCAGCTCTAGCTCAGGCATCCTGCCTGGAGCTGCAGTCAGAGGGGGGAAGGGAGATGTAAGATCAGGGGGAGGTTTGCTCTGTCTCTCTGCTGCAGCCTAACCCACAAGGGCTTTATTGCTCCTCTTAGCATCCCTCCAGTTAGAACCACCTTGGTTCAAAAAAATGAAAAGCAGAGTGGCCAGCGCCCACACAGTGGCCTTGCTCATTGTGACCTCTTCTCAGGAAATGCGGCATTTGTTTGGTCAGTCAACAAACACTTCATGTAGACCAAGAGTAGTTACAATAGAAGGAAGGGGTGTGCAGAGGAAGGGTGCCTGGCCCAGGGTTAGGGCGGGGGTCTTGAGAGAGATCTTGAAGGAGAAGTAGTTCACCAGGTGCAGGACAAAAGGGGGGTGCAGGGGAGTCTTGACAAGGGCTAGGGAGGCTGCAGCGGCTAAGGATGCAGGGTAGGTCAGAAGGCTGTGTCAGGATGAGCTCTGCAGTGCTCCGCAAGCTTTGGGGTGTTCCAAGGCCTCAGCTTCTTGTTCTGGGGGTGGGGGAAACCAAGACAATGACCATCCTAGAAGCGCTGAGCTTCCTATTCCAGGGCTGTGTGAAGGGGCCACAACCCAGGAGTGGCCAGGAGGGGTGACACGCAATGCTTCCAGAGGGACGAGGATAGCCTGGATCTCCAGAGCCCCACTTTCCTCCTGGAGTTTCCCACCCAGTGCTGAGTCCAGGCAAGGCCACAGTGAGAGGAAAAGGCTCTGAACAAAGGAAATGGTGCTTTAGGCCTGATGCTGAAGCCAGAACCTGAGGATTCTGACCCCAAACAGAGCTCTAACCATTTCACTGCCTGGCCAGTCCTGGGACTGTAAGGTCCCAAGTGGAACCAAGCTGGGTCTGGGATCCCCGTTTTAGGAAGGAGAGCTTCTTGGGGAGCTCACCCTCTGAAGGGCCCCTGAGGAAGGTCTTCAAGTCTTCCAAGCCCAGAGCTAGCCTTCCTGGTGTACCTGGTGCCTCTGATCCTATAAATCTGAGAAAAGGAACAGGACAGAGGGAGGGACAGAAGACATTGTCGGGAAGACCAGGGTAAAGACAGAGGGTGAGGGGGTGCTGTGGCAGCTATGGAGGGACAGTCCCAGCTGCTCAGGCTGCTGCAGAAGCCAGGGCCAGGGAGCTTCGAGGTACCTTTTCCAAATTGCTCAAGTCAGCTGGTCCCAGAGATATCAAGGAGTTCGTTGAGGTCACACATCTACAAAAGGTACTGCCCCAGGCCTGGAGGAGGTTGGAGGTGACTCAGTCAGTCCCTTCCCTTGGGGACCTCTCAGACTGGCGGGAAGACAGATGGACTCTTCACAACTAAATATAACCAAATATAACCCAAGGCCTTGTCACACTGTGACAGGACAGGAAAGTCTTTTGCCCAGAGATGGAGGTGGGAGACAAGACAGGAGGGAAGCGGAGCCCGAGAGGGCTTAGAGGACTGGCAGGCAAAGAGGCTCCCCCACCCAGCTTCTGAGGGCCCTGTTCTTTCCATGCCCAGCCCTCCCGCCCGAGTCCAACAATCTCCATTCTCGCGGCCCACAGCCTGAGATGTCCCTCCTGGTGACTTCCTACCTGCGGAGGGAGAGGAGGCGCTGGCCACTTTGCACTGCCTTGCTGGACCCTCTCTTGCCTGGAAGGGAACACCTCGCGCTGCCTGAAGAGAGGAAACACCAGGAAGGGCAGCTACTGGGGCAACTGCCCAGCGTGCAGGCAGGGGCAGGGAGCGGTGGAGAGATGCACCCCAGAGAATTCTCTCTCCACCCCAAGGAGACTGAGTAGCTCTGGGGCCCTGTCAGAGAAGACAGTGGGGGTCCCAGCGTGGTAAGCCCACTCTACAGACGGGCAGCACGGGGTCCCAGCTGTGGGAAAAGGGTGCTGATGCGGCGGCTCTTCCTGGGGCTTCCCCTACCCAGCCCTACCCCGGCCGGGTGGAAGTACCAAACACAAACACACTGTGGGCGCCTAAGTGTGCTGGGCGCTGCCTGTCGGGCTGAATCCAAAGAGCGAGATCCTGCTACATTAGCCGTGTGTTTTGCAGATACAAAAGAGAGACCCTCGGTAAGACCGGAGAGCCGCAGAGCCGCAGGAAGCAACTGCGCACTCTCCGGTGCGCGCACGCGTGCTCCAGCGCTCCCCGACAGCACAGTGTCCACAAGCTCCTCCCATTTTACAGATGAAGGAAGCGAGGCCCAGAGCGGAATGCGAACGTATGAAGAATTTTTTCTGACAGAGAGAGGATTGCCAAACTCCTCTCCCTGCCTCATCAGCCGCATGTGTTCAGGGTCTGAGCTCAGCACCCTCCAGGCACCCCGCATCAGAAACCGAGTCAGATCCTGGGTTACTGGTCTGAGGATCGGGTGGAGAGGGCGCCTCTCCGTCGCAGCCCAGGGGGTCGCTGGAAGGAGCCGTCACGGTTAAGGGCCCCAGCCCCTGCCCCAGAGTCCTTCCCGACGCTACAAAAGTTTGGTGACGCTGTTGAAACCGCAGGGACGGGAGAGCCTGGCAGGGTGCCCAGTAGGGGAGGGCTCGGAGGGCCGGCCGGGGCGGGGCGTGGGTCCCCAGGCTTCCTGCATCGGCCCTGCACGCCCCAACCCAGCTGGTCGCCACATTTCTTCCTCACCACCGCGGCCCCTCGGCCTCATGGACGCCCTGTGTGGCTCCAAGTTCTGGGTAAGGCTTGGGGCTCGGGGGTTGTGGTGGTGGGGTTGACTGCTCTAGGCCACCTGTTCTCCTTGCCTGCCTTCCCTCTGGGGCAGCTGAGCTCCTGGGACAGAGGGCATGTTCGGCCAGCCCTGGGAAAACGTTGGGTGTGTGGAAGTGGGTGATGAGACCTTTCTGGCCACACTATACCGGTCCAAGCCAAGTCCCCTGGGTATTTCTGTGTCTGGGACACCGGCGTGCCGATCCTGGCTGTGTGGAGGAGCTCAGAGAGCAAGGCAGGTGGCTCCTGCAGGTACACTGCCTGGCATCCTGGAAATGCAGAACTACACCCCACTGTTGGCCCTAGCCCCTCCGTGGGTCGCCCCCAGCATGCAGACGGAATATTTTGCCATAGCAGGATTCCTGGTGGGCCCTCCAGCATGTGACCCATCAGCCAGGGTACAATTGCCTACTCTGCACCCCCACCCTGGGACTCCCCCCCAGAGCATCCAAGCCCCTGTCAAGTGGCTACTCTGAGAGGCAGGTCCCACAGGGACTCATTCCTGTGCAGACCCGAGCCCCTGCTCCGGGGTCTAGCTGTGTGTACAGCCTGAGACCTCCCTCCCCAGCAGAGGCATGTGGCAGGGTGTTCTCTTTCAGAGATGGCCCATCACTGGCTGTCCAGGGGCTGCCCAGCATGGGCTGGTCTCAAATTCAGACCTAAGTTCTTTTTTCTATGTCTTTTCCCCATTCTGAGTATTTGTACACACATGACCCGTGCGTGTGTGTGTGCGTGCGCGTGTGCGTGCCTGTGTGGGGGAGGATGGGGTGTTATCCATAGGTGTGTGCTATACACCTATGTGTGCATAGGTATAGGTATATAAGTCAGGAGCCACACCCTGGGCTGTCACTTAAAGTCTCTTGGGCTGGTATTTATGGTTTGGGAATGGGCTGAAGCCATTACCAGGATTTTTTGAAACTTAGGGCAAGGGAATACCTGTAAAAAACCGTCTTTGGGGATCTCTCTTTTTCTCAGTGTCACTAATGGGTTAATTAGACATGGTGCAGCTTCTGGGCTATGACCCTTCTTGCTCAGCCCCACACATTCCCTGTCTGCCTTCAAGCCTGGCCCCACTACCTGTTGCCACAGTCCAGAGGTTATACCTGCTTATGAGTGTACTTCCTCTAGCTGCTCACCCGGACCTGGCCGGTGGGGCCACGGCATGGTCACGGTGATGCAGGTGACCAGGCAGAAGGCTTGAGAATCAAGAGGGCAGTTGTGCCCAAGCCTGGGAGTGCGAAGGCCCCTTGTTCCTGGATAACAGTGAAACCCTGAGTGCTTAGCAGTCCAGGGAATCTGGAACCGAAAAACTTGGAATTCCCACCCTGTGCCAAGTTGGGAGGCCTTCGGTTCACTCTTCCATGCAATGGATCATAGAAGCCACGAGTGCCAAAACAGTCCATTCACCTCTCATTGTGGAGGCCGGGGAGGAAAGGTCACAGGCCAGTCAGCTACAGAATGCTAGGTCAGGGAACTGGACCTCTACAGCACGGTCCCAGGCATCCACTGCCTTACCACGTTCCTTTGCGTCTCGGAGACCTGCTTGCGGCTCACAAGTTGTAAGCGCCTCCTCTGAGGACCCCAGCCCAGTGGGACGGAGCGCATCTACATTAGGGCTCCCTCGAAGGGTCTCCGCTTGGGTAGCTTCAGTGTCCACTGGGGAACTGGCTACTCCCCTGTGCCCTCTTCTTGAAACAGTCTCTCTTCCACCTCCTTGGCTCCTGAAAGCCATTCCTGGCTGCACCCACTGTGGCTGGTGAGCCTCCCAGGGTTTGCAGAGCTGGGGTGAGGGGGCCCTCGGGAGGGTGGAGTCTAAGCTCTAGCTCAGTTACCAGGAAGGTCTAGAGTTCTGAGCTATTTTGCATCTCATTTGCATTGCATGTCATTCAGGTATACTGACCCCGGAATGGTAGGTAGGGGCCAGCTTGTGGGAAGGGATTCAGGGCAGCCAGAAAGTCCCTGAATCAGGAGAGGAAAGGCAGAAGGGTGAGGTGCTCAGGCTCCTCGGGTTACTTGTTTACCCAGCTTTGCCTTAGTTTATCTTCAGAGCTTCACTTTCTTCATCTGAGGGGCTGGGGATTTAGCTCAGGGGCACAGCGCCTGCCTGGCAAGCGCAAGGTCGTGAGTTCGATTCCTGGTACCGGAAAAAAAAAAACAAAAAAACAAAAAAACTTTCTTCATCTGAAAATGGGAAAATAACCCACTTTCTACTCACCTTCCAAGACTTTTATGGGGAGAGGCAGGAAATTCCAGAACCTGGAAAGCAGAGGCAGGAAGGCTGCCACAAGTTTGAGACCAGCCTGGGCTACATACTGAGTTCAAGGTATGATTCTGAGAGCCAAGAAAACCTGTGTGGTTGGCAGGCGCTGATTCCTGGGAAGAGGAGGAGGTTAGACAGGAGGTCCTCCAGTAACAGGAGCTCACAGGGCTGGCAGGCCTCTTTCCTGGGAATCAGGCTCCCGTTCGGGTAAATCTTTCAGCTTTCGTCCTGGCTCACTCTAAGGATGGGAGGCTGGGGGGTACCCATGACCCTCTGGACACGTGTACACACCATGTGTGGACACATGATTTCTCTTTCTCAGTATCAATTCCTCTATTTCTCTCTGTCTCTCCTTCTAAGCAGGTTACAGACATCTCTGATGGTGCCTTGGGAGTGTGTGTGGAAATATATTCCAAAAGAGAAAATGGTGTACTGCTTGGGGGGCCAAAGAAGGCTAATGTACATTTACTCTGGCCTGCTGCCCCTCCCCACGCCCACATGCCCTTGTCCTCAAAGATTACTCTGATTTGAGCAATACGGACTCGGGCTCGACACCACCCATGGGGTGAGTGGGGCAGATGAGGAGGGGCTGGGCAGCCTAGTTCAGGAGATAACGGCCTGTTTTCACAGTTTACCTTATCTGATGACGCAAGCCCCAGGCAGCTCAGAAAGCCAGCGGTCCTGGCCATGAACCTGCCCAAAGGGGCACCAGGAGTACGTACGCTAGGGGAGGGTAGGCACGTAGGTGGTGACATTTGATGGGGATGTTGGTGAGGTCCTATCCTGAGACTGTTTGATCACCCGGGGGAAGGACGAAGGAGGATGCCGATGGGGATTCACTGGCTCCTCCGCTGAGATTTTCGACTCCTTCCCTGGCTCTGTCTGTCCTCCAGATGTGGGTTTGTCCAGGCCCACGGCTCCACACTGGTCAGGCCCGTGTCCCCTTTGTTGGGCATGGCCACACCCCGGGCCCGTGCCAAGCCTTGGTCTCTTGGAGGTCCAGCTCCACATCTCCTCCTCTGTTCTAGCCAATCCCAAATTCTGTCACCCACTACCTTTGTGACCTGGGGCAAATCACTCACCCTCTCTGGGCTGGAGCAGGGTTTAGGGAGCTCTGGAGGCCCCTTCAAGCCTGGAGTTGCTTCAGCCTCCCGTTTGGGGGCCACGGCCCTGACTCAGGGTCCCGGGGTACGGAGTCTCCCAGCTTCCTCCTGGGTCACTGTGCCCAGCAGGAGAGCAGGCAGCCGCCAGAGTGTCAGTAACAGGCAAAACTCAAATGTAATGTATTTTGATACAAATGGAGATGGTGACATGCGCGTTCTGGGGAAAGCTGGAAGTGGCAGTTGGGTGGGCAGTGAGCACCCTTTAGCTTACTAGGCCCAAGCTCATCCCCTGTCTCAGGAACCCAGTCTTCCCAGCCAGGCTGGACGGAGTGGGGTCCCCTCCCTCCATCCCAGCGGGGGTGCTTGAGCCCAGTCCTGCACCACTTTGACCTCTACGTTCTTGGCTTTTAGTGAGATTTGTTCCCTTGTGACCCCAGACTGGCTTCTCACATCCCACGGGCCTGGGTTGAAGATCAAGATTAGGACAGGAAGTGAGTCAGGGAAGTGGCCTTGGGGAGGGACTTTGCCAAGCCTGCCTGCTGGCCCGCACCAGAACTGACCTTGCAGCACCCGCTGGCCTCCAGAGAGGTGCTTGCATGAGCTACAGTGTACTCAGCCAGGAGGCAGGGAGGCGGGGTGGCTGGGCCGTGTCCCCCCAACTCCATTTGCACAGGGACACTTGCGGCTGCCCAGAGACGGGATCCTTGGGGGTGTGTGGATGGGCGGGGTGAGACCTGGATGTGCCCTTCCCCACCTGCAGCTGTTTGTGTTTGAGGGTGGGTCCAGGGGGCGGTCCCATAGAGGTCAGAGGTGGTGGGAAGGCAGCTAAACTCTGGATCTGATTTCTTCTCCTAACTGGATATTCAGGTTTCTGGTGCAGTGGCTCCCCAGCCCCTGCTGGCCCCCTCCCCAGTGCTGGCGGCCCCTTCCCCTGGCTCCACAGGAAGCAGTGCAGAAAGGAGGCGGAGCCAGGCTGGGTTGCAGGACACACGAAGACTTAATGTTTCCTCTGGCTGAGACAAGGGGTTGGGGTCGCCCCAAGCTCTGCAGGGTGGTAGGAAGCACTGCATAACTGGTGGGGGGCTGGGATGCAAGCTCTTCTGCCTGAGTTCGAATCCCGCATCAGCCAGGGTCTCAGAAGTCACAAAGAGGACATGATAATCCTGGCACTCTCTGGAGCTCCATTAACCAAGGTTAATGAGGTCTGGCTCTTGCAAAGATTCCTTCTGGCCTGGGCAGGTCAGCAAGGGTGAGGGCGGTCAGACTGTGCCGTTTCCCTCCTGCACACGCATTTCTGCTGAGATGGATGGTCTTGTCAGTCAGTCCCTTCCAAGTGACAATCCGTAGCCTTGGGAGCCGCAGGGCATGGGAGGCCCCCTCCCCTGCCACAAGGCATAAAGGAAGTAATGACTGTCCTCATGACAGGGGCTGTCACAGGCTGGACCCAGGGCAGGGAAGTCCCTGGCAGAGCTAGGGCCATGGGCTGGGGATCCCCACTGCCACCTGTCATGGGCGGGCTTGGGTCTGCAGGGGTCTCAGCTGCTGTGCCCACCAAGGAGTATCTCCCGCACCGTCCTTCCTGGGCACCAAAACCTCCAGCTTACCA